CAATGGAGTTTGTATATATTTTTAAGACCACCTAAGGTGACATCTCTGCTTGGGGTGTAGAGGCATGGGGGCGCAATGGTGGATAGTTATAATTTTCTGCTTCTTCTGTTGTTTTCCGCTCTTTGTGCTTCATCCATCAGGAGCTGCATTAGTGCTGTACTCTTGATGCACTCATGTTCATGACTTCTGAGGATCCTGAAAGACTGCAAGAACCACCATACACTGAATCTTGTGATCTGCTAGAATCAGCCTGGATCCTGATGGCTGTGGGAATTGAAAGAACGTAACAGCATGAACTCTGCCTACTGTCAAGTTTTGCCAACCATGTGCTTTTATATTAGTAGTTACCATAAGCAGTTCCTTTTGATATCTTTTGACTACATTGTAATTTCACTGAGATTCCAACACAGTCATTATTAGATTTGGGCATGGTAGAAAATTTTAGTTTGACTGAATGCATTTAGACAAAAATACATTGTCTTCCATGAAACTGTTTGGTTCGGATGAAATTCTCCCATTATTCTCAGATCAGAAACTAATGGGTTCTTCAGCTGTTACATAGCATAAAGATGTTTTGTTTTTTTCTCTCACTTTTTCAATAATGACTGCCTCCTGCTCCCTCTATTTTACAGAAATTTCACTACCAAAGTGACTAATGACTTTACGTAAAGGTCATCACTCTTCCTTCATTCATCTCGACCTCTCTGCTACCCTTGATACTGTTGATCACTCTTTTGTACTTCAATCCCCCAAAAGAAACATTTTATTGGTGGGGAAAAATATGATATTAGCTAGTGGACAGCCACTAAAGTTGATTTGGCAAGTGAGAAGGGACCAAAAGATACCTTTGCATATTACTTTACCAACAAGATTGAACAGCTAAGGAAACAATTCTCCCCTCTTTGCCATTCTCTTTCTCAACCACACATAAATCATGCCTTCCCTACCCTTCAGACTTTCTCCCTGGCTACTGAACAAGAGGTGGCTGCACTTCTCCATTCCTCTCGCCCCACCACTTGCCTGCTCGATCCTGTCCCATCTCACCTCATCAGATCTCTCTCCCCTTGTCTTGTGCCTACCCTAACACACATCTTTAAATGCTCTCTCTCTTCTGGCATTGTTCCTGCTGACCTTAAACATGCCATTGTAGTACCTATCCTGAAAAAAACATTTCTTGACCCATCCTCCCCCTCTAACTATCGTCCCATATCCCTGCTCCCTTTCTCATTAAAGCTTTTGGAAAGACTTGTCTTTACCTGTGTGTCACGCTTCCTCAATTCCAACTCTCTCCTTGACCCTCTTCAGTCTGGCTTCTGCCCTCTCCACTCTACTGAGACTGCTCTCATCAAAGTCACTAATCACCTCATCACAGCTAAATCCAAAGGTCACTACTCCATATTAATTCTAATTCACTTCTCTGCTGCTTTTGACACTGTTGATCATGCTCTCCTCCTTCAAACTCTTCAATCACTCGGTCTCTGTGACTCTGTCCTCTCTTGGTTTTCCTCCTATCTCTCCCAACGCTCATTCAGTGTCTTCTTTTCCAAGCATACCTCCTCCCCTCGTCCTGTCTCGGTTGGAGTTCCCCAACGCTCTGTCCTTGGTCCCCTTCTATTTTCTCTTTATATTGCCTCTCTTGGCAAGCTTATTGCCTCTTTTGGATTCCACTACCACCTGTAGGCTGATGACACTCAGATATACCTCTCCTCCCCAGATCTCTCCCCTGCCGTCCTGCTACGTGTCACTGCTTGCCTTTCTTCCATCTCTGACTGGATGTCCTCACGCTTTCTGAAACTCAATCTTTCTAAAACTGAACTCCTTGTCTTTCCTCCTCCTAATACTGATCCTCCTCTCTTGCTCTCCCTTCAAGTCAGTGATATCCAAATAAGTCCATCCTTGCAAGCATGCTGTCTTGGCATCATACTTGACTCTGGCCTCACCTTTGAGCCTCACATCCAGTTTGTTGCCAAATCCTGTAGGTTTCACCTCAAAAACATAGCCCGCATCCGCCCCTTTCTTACACAAGATGCGACCAAAGAGCTTGTCCATGCTCTAGTAATTTCCCGCATGGATTACTGTAACCCTCTCCCCAAAAGCCATATTGCCCCAGTCTGTAATGAATGCTGCAGCTAGACTGATTTTCCTCTCTAGTCAGTCCTCTCACACATAATCCCTCTGCCAGTCCTTACATTGGCTCCCTGTATCCTATAGGAGTCAATTCAAAGTACTAACCCATACATTTAAATCACTGAAAAATTCTAGCCCCTCTTATATCTCCTCAATGATCCATAGGTATGCCCCTCCTCGTTCCCTCCGCTCTGCCCGTCACCACCTCCTGATCGCTGCTCGCACCCGTACGGCCAACTCGCACTTGCAGGACCTCTCGCGGGTGGCTCCTTTCCTATGGAATAGCCTGCCTACCGCCATCAGACTCTCCCCTAGTCTTCAATCATTTAAGAAGAGCCTTAAAACCCATCTCTTCAGGAAAGCTTATGGCCTCACAGAGTAACCTCTACCTTACATACCTGTCTCTTGCTCTCTCCTATAGGGCAGCACTCTACTCTCTCCTCCAGCTCTGCTTCACTCTCACCTTATTTGATTGATATCTCCTGTCCTTATGTGTTTTACACCCCACCTCCTATAGACTGTAAGCTCGTTTGAGCAGGGTCCTCTTCAACCTATCCTGTAAGTTTTCTTGTAATTGTCCTATTTATAGTTACATCCCCCCCTCTCATAATATTGTAAACGCTACGGAATCTGTTGGCGCTATATAAATGGCAATAATAATAATAATAATAATAATAAAAAGAGGGGAAAAAGAGGAGCAATAAAAAGATATATGTCATAGATTGATACATATAATATAAATATAAATGTAACTATTATTTTTATAGCTCCTTTTCCTTTTCAATTTATTGGTTACTTTATCTGACCTGTGAACCAAATTGCGCCTAAAAGTGCCAATCAGCATACTGCCAAATATATATACATAATATTTATGCTATGTATATACTTTGCAGTACACTGATTGACCTATATTTCCACCCATTTGCCCGGACAAATATCTGGTGAGCCAAACAGCCAAATGCATGCAATTCTTCACATTTTTCTTCTTTCTTTTTTATTATTCTTATTAATAGTCGCAAAAGCCTGTGGCCACTCACTGTTTAGTAGACGATCCCGCAACAAGTGGCATGGTGGGTAGGGGAATTTCTACTAAATATAGGAATCATATTGACTACATAGGTTTTTCAAAATAAATTTTTAATTTTGCTAGCCAATTTCCACATGATTAACCATCATGCTGCTGTTGTTTGCCTGGTGACTGCTAGTTCTGGTGTAGCCTTAATCACAAAATGGCTTATCATTTGGATGTTTCATGATTTGGTCAGAAGTCTATTGGGAAATTCATTTTTTTTTCTCCCCAACTTTGGATGCATGGCGATTCAGCTGAAAACCAATGATCAAGTCTAGTGTACATTATATTAATCTGATGTTCTATCCCAGCAAACTGTTGCAATAGTAATTTGCTACATTGTTGATGGATTAACTTGTTACTGAACTGGGAATATATGGGAAATATATTTCCACAATGATTGCTGAAAAGTGATCTAACTTCCTTTGTGGGTAACAGGAGACTTTCACATATTTTTGGTCTGTCTTTTTCAAGTAACTATTACTTCAGTGTTTGTAAATGTAAATATTAACATTAAGCATCATCCTGCAAAAATCTAATTTGGTCTATAATTGGCAACAAGTGGCATATCACCTATATAGGTTTTGAGATTGCACAATTTTTAGGGACATGTTCACAGTCTGTATATTTCACTAAATCACTCATCTGCAATTATAAATATTGTATTTGTTTAATTGTTCATTTATTTGTAGTCCATCAATTTTCAGCTGTTAGTCATCGTGTGTGTCTTTACCCCTCCTAATAGATTGTAAGCTCGTTTGAGCACGCCTTAGTCACTTCTTGTCTCTGTTACAATCTTTATCAACCTCTGGACTGCTAATGTAATAGTTTTCAGTCGATTTGCTCCTCTCCCCTCCCTGACTCTAAAAATAAAATGATCCATTTAAACTTCCTGTTAATCTTCTGAAAACAGGGGGTGAGCTGACAGTTTAAGCAACTTTGTATTGATCATATCAGTAACTAATCGCTTCTGGACGTTCCTCTACAGGCTGGTGATTATAACTAAAGTATAAATGAGGGTGAGTGAGGCTTTCTGAACTAAATTTTATACTGCAAAAAAAAAATGAAAATATGAAAATATTTATACTTGTTTTTGTTATTGAAGGGGTTCAGGAAATAACACAGAGAATAATTGTGAATAATGGTGCCAATATCTACTAGTAACATCCCACGAAACTTAGGGATGGGTGCTAGTGAGTATCAATATACAGATTTTGTTTTTCAGGGTACACTATATCACATTACGTGCAAAGTTGTCTGTATCCTGGTGACTGTCCATTTCTTCTTAAATATAATTCACACTAATATGTGGTTTTTTTTATACTTTGTCAGTATAATATTTTTCTTTTAAAAATAGTTTTTCTTTAGAGTGATTGGCTTCCTTTTATTGGGGTACTTGTAGAATTTAGCCTGTATATTTTATGGAGCAGTCTCACGGATCTAACACATCAGTTATCTTTTACAGAGCTATTTACTAAAGGGAGAATTCAAAGTACGGAGTAGTTGAACTGTAAGCATAACCGACTAGGGTTGACTAGGTATTTTTTCATGTTCAGCTATTTTGACCTTAAATCTGAAATTCTCCTTGAATTAACAAAATCACCTTCAGTTTTCACTTTAGTAAATACCTTATTAGATCACCTTGGTTGATAACTAAATTTAGAATTTTTATATGTAATTTCTTTCTTAGGCAGTTCCTTAATAATTATAGCTACATTTTACATTTGATCTTATTTTATTATTTCTAGCTTTCCATTATAATAAAATAAAAGTCCCCTTTATGTAAAAAATACAATAGAAAATATAAATTAAATGGATTTCCTTTAATTAAAAAATAAACCATATGCCATGATAACATTCATCGGTTTTATATAGGTGGAGCCCATCTCAAAATCCCGAAGTAAAGATTTAATAAAAACAAAAGCCAATTCATCGAGAGGGATATTCTTCTTTGCCAACCACTGAATTTTGTGTTGCTGCTCGAGGTGTTCTTTAATTGAATGTGAATTCCATAGTCGCTGGCATGACGCCTATACTGCACTGGTTAATGTTTCTCTTCATTCTCACATAGCCGGCTTCTCCCCAACCATCACCCCAGCTACAAAAAAAAAAATATACAATATTTAATTAATGATTGTAATGCAATAATATTTCAAACTATTGTATATGCTCCAACAATTCTAATCCTTGCAGCACTTACAAGATGTTCATTCTTAATACCTGTAATAAGGTTTATGCCAACATTAATGAATTTGCAAGTATTTTCTTTTGCAAAAGTGGAGGTAAATATCAAGAATTAATATTTTTCTGTGTAAGCTCAAGGGGCAAATATAGGATGCACAGACATGTTTTTAATTGAATATTTATATTTCCCTGGACAACAAGCAAAGATAAGCTTTTATGTTAGCTATCCAACTTTTAATATATGAGCATGTTTATAATTAAACAACATATTTGGAGTTGGACTATAGTAAATAACTGATTTCCAGATAAGACGATTAATATCTCAAACTACAAGATAACAGACCGTTGATACAACAATGATACATATTGTAGAATGGACAAACTATATGGACCACGGAATTCTTATATTCTGTCATTAGTTAATAAGTATCAACTAAACAATCTGTAATAATTTATCAGAAACTAAAATCAACCCTGGGACTGTGTTGCTTCAAGGCAAAATTGAACTATGGTGGTACACTTCTGAGCTATTGAGCTGAGCCAAGTTATTTTTTTTATTTCTTTTAAGAAACGGAGAGTAATCACATTGAATTTGAAGTGCACTCATCTTCACTTAACTTTTTTTTTAATGTAACTCAGCATCTCTTAGGTGAAATAGCTTACAGTGCATTGTATGTTATATGTCACCCAAAGATCAGCCACTTATAAGCTTTTGTGATTTTTGTGATTCTGTGAAAAAAGTGATTTTCCATTTTTGTCAATATGCAATGAAAGACATAGATCAAAGTGAAATTAATCATTTACCTATTCCTAACTGTCCAGTAGTTACGGCCGTAACCCACAACGACGATTGCATGATTTGGTCCATCAGCACAGGTTCCATCATATATTCCTTAATTAAATAAAAGATTAAACATTTTTTTTTTTTAAGTTACATATATGTGCATTTTTTTTTTTTTTTTTACATTTAAGGTTGTCACTTTCACTTAACTACACTATTGCATCCAGTGTTGAAGATAATTTGGTAGTTGGTCCATAACTTCACTATTAATTTAACATTCACCTGTATTTCCTCTCCAATTGTATATTGTACTTGCTGATCTCTTAAAAATAACATTTGTTAAAAAAATATTTAATAAAGTTATGTCAAAATTATTTGTAGAGCTCGAGATGGAAAGTTTGTCAATCTGGAGCTTAACGATCAATACATGTTCTAAAAACTAGTTTGTGAAATGACATACATTCTGAATAGCAAGTTATGGATTGATTTTTACAATCCTGAATCCTAAAAAGTTGTTATGGTAAATAGCAATTATGATACATTGCACAGACAGATAGCATCAGTTAAACTGCCACTATTTCCATAACAAGTATTGTCACCATATTGATTTAATCAAATTGTGGCTTTGTTAGATAGAACTCATGTGGACCTGGAGACTCAAAAGCTAAACCTGGGGGCAAACTCATGCTGAGCAAATTGTTAATTGATTTCTATCAAGAACAGAATCTCAACTTTCATTCCTTATATGTTTACTGCGGGTAACTTCTCAATTATTGATCTAGCTGAACTGTCAAATACGTTTATTTGTTTATGGTTAAATACATTTCATTAGTTGAATAATAATATTCTAGTTCTTCTATATTTTATTTTAAATGACATCATCACAAGAGTTACTGGAATTTATTTAAATAAAACAACATTTTTAGTTGGGTCTCCTTTGTATACAACTGACTAGACGTTCTGAGTAATCAGAAGAATACATCTCATAACGTACTTTGACATGAAAAATAATATAGCATCATTAACATGCTTCGTTAGTAATTACCTTTTTCATACAGCATAAATTCATCATCAACTCCAATTCCAGCAGTGAGAGGTCCATTAGTTGCCACTGATGCTGCCATATTTGCTTCTCCATTCACATAATAGAATTTTTTTGCTTTCATCTTTATTGCATTATTTGAGTTAAATAAGCATTTACCTTGCTACAAAGAAACAAACAGCGAAAATAAATTTATGAACTTGATCTCTCATAGGAAGGACAGGAAAACATTGTCATACTAGTTGTTTAGATCTTTAAACCCCTTGGTGCTTGGACTGCCCATGGCATACCTTGCAGAGCTCTTGGCTTTAATTTTACCCTATACCTTATGAGTTATGGTGGAGAAACAAACTCTGTTATGGTCTAGAGGACCCCCTTATTCTGGATGGTGAAGAATTGCTTTTAATTACCTCTTCCCTTTTTTTATCTGTCATATTCAAATGATGGTAGGAGTTATCAAGGTTGAGAACAGGGCCCCTGATCCATACAAATACCCTCTTTAATATAAATATTATGTAGCAGAGATACCCAAATCCCCTAAATCTAATTACTTTGTGCTCTATACCACGGTTACCAAAAAATCCCCAATGCTATAATTCTAGCATCAATGCTATAATTCTACTCCTTGTATTCAGTGTCTGGTCCAAATCCTGTGTCCACACACAGTATGTATAACCATGCATCCCTAGCTCACTCAAACAAATCTATATCACTGGCTGATTCTACCTCTCCAGTATGATTGGTCAGGTTTTGGGGCAGTCAGTCAAAGTGCAGTGACTTCTCAAAATTCTCTTCAATTTATAGTAATACACAAGCGAAAATCTAAATGTAAAAGAACTGTACATGATCGTCTCAAGGGATGAAATTATTAATATTATTTTATTATTTATTTAGCGCCAGCAAATTCCATAGTGCTGTACAATGGGTGCACTAACAGACACATAATTGTAACCAGACAAATGTACGCACAGGAACAGAGGGGTTGAGGGCCCGGCTCAATGAGCTTACATGCTAGAGGGAGTGTGGTACAGTGATACAAAAGGGTATTAGTAGGGGTAATGAAATAGGTTGCGAGAAAAGTAATCGCTGAGAACTTAGTAGGTTATTTTCATTTTTTCTCCTACCTTTTCTTTATATTTGTAGTCATCACTCTTCATAATACCATTTTTGGAAACATATTCCAGAGCCTTAACTGGGAGTCCACCATCACAACCATCATTTGCTTTATCGCAATCCACAAGCTGCTGCTCACTGAATATGAGTTGCTTACCCTTATCAAGGCAGTACCGGGTTTCAATAAGGCTCACCTTCAAAAACAATTTACATAAGATCCGTTTAATTTAGCAAGAAACATCAAAACACAATAACAAACCAACTGCACTAACAGAGATTGGTAGGTACAGGAATCAGGTAGGTTATGTCTCCACAAATACCTCTAAAGAAAATCGCAACAAAGAAAATATAAAGAGAATTGTCATACAAAAAAAAGGATATTCCAGCTTGTAATTTTCATTAGTATTGTATACATGCCATTATTGTTAGATCAGATGATAAAAATATTATACAAAGAAAATGAAAAAAATTAATTAACCTAGGGCCAAAATTTAGATATCACAAGGTAGAGGGCACAAAAAAAAGGGGGGTAACCCCTAAATGGTGAATATCATAGAGAATAAACAAAAAAAGAAACAAATGCCATTCTACCTGTGTATGATTTACTGAGAAGATTGTAGATTAAAAAGTAACTTTTAATAAATAAATCTAAAATAAAATATAAAAAAGAAAAAATAATATGAACAGCAGGAGTAAATGGAGACTATACAGCGAGTAAAACTCTGTGACTACTTATATAAGCTGTAAAAGTGTATACATAATAACACTAATGCTGAAGCAATACTGTTTAGCTACAATATAACAGTGTATTCCCAAGTAATAGAAGTGATACTATATTATATATCACTAATAGCTGTAACAAGAGGGGGGGAGATAAGACAACTGCTAAACCAGTGCTGTCAATAGTTAAAAGATATGGATAAGTAAATCCCTACATGATAGTACAACTAACGACATGGGTTAACTCCACATACAACAATTGATAATGTTCTATGGTGCTTAACCTCAAAAAGATCAAAGATAATAGTTCAGCTGAGAGATTTCTGACAGACGGCGATTAGCCAATTAAATATCACAAAAGCTGCCTAGATCATAGCAGCGTAATAAATTAAAGGTTTCTGTCAAGCAGTAAAGTGTAAAATAAGGGGTTGCTGAACTGGCTCCATTTTGTCTGCAAGATACCTAGCAGTATATTCTCATGTAACAACGGCTGCCTGCACTGAATGGTGTTATCTTATGCTTGACCACAGCGGAGCACAAAGAAGTAGCTCAGCTGTGAAGGACTACTGACAGGCAGCAGTTAACCGGTTAAAAGTCACACAAGTTGCCTAAGTGCTAGCTGCATCTAAATAATAGGTCAAAGTATATAAAAATACTAATAAACTACTAATAAAATGTCAAATTGTTATATATTTTTGTGGGTGGATTTTCTCTCTCTCTCTCTCTCTCTCTCTCTCTAAATATATATATATATATATATATATATATGTATATATACTTATGTATACTATATATTATTAATATGTTTGTGCTATATAAATAATTGTAATTGTAATGAATTAATAATTTATTGAACATTATCCATAAATTAATAGGCAAATAAAAATTACAAAAAACCTTGCTTTTAAAGGATGCAAGAAAAACAGCAAATTCTTTAACCATGTACAGGCAGAACTATGACTAGTGGGATAGCTAAGTATGGGTACAAATTACTACCGGTAGTAAGCTTTGAACAACCTGACAGTTCATACAGTTGCAATGAGATTGCATCTATAAATGTGTAAAAAAAATCAAATGACTGCACAATGTGCCAAATTGTGCTGATCGGAACAGGCATCATTTTGAAGCATGAACAATAGATATTGATGACATGTCATTGAGCTTGTGCAAGATCATCTTGAAAAATACTGAGATCTCTCCACAGGCTACCATATTGTACTCCGAGTTCAAGTAGAATGAGGAACAAGATGGCAGCTCAAATGATTAAGTTCAGTTTATCTATCTGCTCTCTTTTGCCCCAGGCACTACATTGTAAAAGGACATTTCTTGGCTAACATAATAGACCTCAATATTGAAAGTCACACTCTAATGTTATTCATTGTGAATTTACCATGACTTAACATATTAGTAGCATAAACCCATTCTTATAAGCTCATAAATCGTTTTTACCGTAGCAAATGCCCAACATGAGCCACATTCTCCTTGACTTTTAACTGGAGTCACACATTTTGAATTTCTCCAGTCATATTCATCAGGAATAACAGGCAGATTTCCATGGCGAATATGGGTATGGTGTGAAATTGCCAATTGTCCTTTCAAACCAAGGCTGATGTGGGAAGCCCGTTCTTCTGGGGTCTGAAACAGGATAACCATATTTATAAAAAAAAAACATTTCAATCACTTCATTCCATTCACTAAATGCAATATTATGCAAATAAAACATTTTACATTTTTTTTAAATAATATATAAAAACTACTTAATGAAATGTAAAAATGTCCTTTTCCAAGAAGTCAACAAAAATTAATGTAGTTGCTCCCACACTCTTTTCCATACATTTCCAGTGGTCCATATTTTATAATCCATTAATGTTATTGCAAAACCATTGATGGTGGCTCTTTTCTATGTTTTTTTTTTCTATAGTTAAAATTGCCACTACTATTATCTAGTGGCATTGTAAATGCTGCTTATCTATATATAGTATATAATAATAATAATAATAATAATAATAATAATATTTTAGATGTTTATATAATCTGGTATAGAAACAAAAAAAATCTAACTTTAATTAAATGAATAATACTCTTACAGAATGGTTTCAGAAAACTTACCAGATCTGCAAACTGATTCATTGCCAAAGTGTAGTTTTTAAGACCTAGTTCTGCCAGCTGGTTGTGTTGGTGCACCAGATCCCTCGTGGCTAACCATGCTTCTTGGCGATTCAGCTCAATTTCTTCTGTGTCATATTGTTTTCCTGCCATGGAATTTAACCATTGAAACAAGTTAATTCACAACCTTTGGACAAATCCTGCACTGTATTTGAAGTCACAATAAAGATTTTAAACTTTCTTTGTGCTCAAAGTAGTTTGTTTGCTTTTTAACTATTTGTTGCGCATTTAGTATTTATTAATTCCCATATTCCCTTGCAAGACTAAAGACGGATACGAGCACACAAGTCCAGTAAAATGAATATTTAAAAAAAGGAAAGGTAATTAAAAACAGTTAAAATGCTAACACTTTTCATGTGATGTAATTTGCCCTTCAAATAGAGCAAATTACAGTAGTATAGAGCTGTAGGTATGGTTGAAAAAATTGGCCTTTTGGTTTTTTGATGAGCATTCACACATTTTAATGATCGGTACGTATCCATCAAACCACTATTTGTCTTTTTTTTCTTGTCCAGCAACACAGTTAAAGTTCTTAATATGTATGTTCATAATCTTTGCATTTGCAATATAAGTTTCTGACAATCTTTAGGGCTATTATATATTTAAAATATATTGAAGTTATTTAATGTAATTAAGAGAAACCGCAAATACATAGAGTAAAGAATATAATAAGGCGATAACAAGCTTACAATTATGTGGCAAGGCACTTAACGTACATCGTGGAAACCAACTAAATCTTTTATTGCATTGACACAGAATTAATAAACAATAAACAAATCATAGTTATGTTTGTATGTACATGTCACTAATTAGCATAACTCATACATGTGTGTATCTGTGTAATTACATACCGTATTTAGATTTCCACAGATTCCATTCTTGTTCAAGGAAATGTGCAGCCGAAGCGCAGACAACAATTGTTGAGAAGAGGAATAGAAGTTTATTGAACTGCATCCTAAAGTAAACCAATAGTACGTCTTAAGTTTACATAGGCCAGTTACATCTTGCACAGCAAAGTTTTTGTTTTGAAATATGAAAACTATAAATATCCATCCACAACTAACATCAAAATGTTCTTATCATAAAGGAGGCAAGATAGGTTTATAAACTGTTTAACCACACACAATAGTTTTTTCCTAAGTTAATATGCTGTATGTACATTCTATGTTTGAAATAGCATGTACACTGCAATTAAGCTGGTAACGTACCTGCCTGATGTGATCCCAAGACCAGGAGCTCCTTCAGGTCTCGGTGAATGAAGAGCTTTCAAAATATTGGTCTTTATATATAATTCTCCCCACCAATAGAATTCTTACTTGCGGCAAGTCATGCTAAGAATCAGATATGTGAAAACAGTTTGACCTATCACAGAACTGATAAGATTTAAGATTGATATGATATAACAGAGAAAGGAAATCACAACAAAAGAGGAAATATGTGGTATCTTTTGGTGGTATTTTATTACGTTGACAGCGTAACTTAATAATAAAAGAGGAGAGAGGGAAAAAACATATATCTGAAGTTCCACATGTAAACAATGATATTATGTTTAAAATATATTGACATATAAGAATAGGGTTAAAAATAACCCTATTAATGTCTCTTGAGCATTTTACATATGCAAGAGGCAAAGCTAAAAATGGAAAATGCAGTTTGAATAATTACTAAATTCTGAATATGTAGATCAAACTGTGTGCAAACCATTTGAGATATTTTTAAAATAATTTGAAGACATACTTAGATGAACAAATACACTATATATTTTAACAGAAGCAAACAGAACTCTAAAATGACCCTTATTAGTCCCTCTAAATTAACAATTGTCTGTTAAATTTTGATTTTCCTCCACCTCCTGACACTTATAGAAATATGTCGCTCCCCCACTCCTTTACAAGGTGTCAATAGGGGAACTAGTAAAATCATTTAATTTTTCCCACTCTGCACCTATTTGAGCTTATTTAATTTTATTCTCTTTTCATAGTGGCATTTCCCTGGTATAATTCTAAGCTTTCTTTTATCTACCAATTCAAATACATCCATATTTATCTTGGTGACCACATTCTTCAGTCTCATAAAGTCTCCTCAAACAGCAAACATGGTAAAAAAAAAAAAAAAACCTCCTTACACCTAACATCCCTTGGAGTTAATCTGGAATAATCTTTTATAATATACAATCCATTTGACCAATTTCTGTGCCCAGCTGGTAACAACTCTTTAGGAAAATACCATTTCAGCTATTTGAGAAAACTTAAAGACAACTACCATGACATACAAAAATAATCCCTTACTCCACACACACACTTTAGTATAGTTGAAATTGTTATTTTTACTGTGTTATAAGAGTTAGATATTTTCTTCTAATGGAGGTACAGAATAACATAACAAATTACACAATTTAGATTGCGATAAAAAAAGAAGAAGAAAAGCAAAAAAATAAATCACTACATATCATATTTACCAAAAAATAAATATTTTTTGGACATCAAAAATGTGTAAATTATTAGAAGTAAAATTATCTTGTAAATTGATGTTCATAATATTACACTTACTGTTTTATAATATATAAATGAACCTAAAAATGCAGAGGATGTTAATATATGATAAATATATATTTATATATATATATATATATATATATATATATATATATATCAATAGGAAATCAATCAATTAAAACAATTAATAAAAGAAGAACTAATAATAAATAAAAAAGAAGAGACATAATAAAATCCTAAAAATTAGTGTATACAGAGACTATTAAAATAGGATGGGCTAAACTCTATTTTCATAGAATGTTAAGTAGTTCTAGTTCCGCATTTAATACAAATGGAATTAAAGATTTTAGATTTTCACTGAACCTCCCCTCCATGGTATGTGGACTAGTTGAATCCCACAGTATTTTATTGTTTTGACGTTACCATTGTGGCTTTCAGCGAAATGTTTGTACAGAGTGTGGTTTTCAAATTTTCTATTAATGTTATAAGTATGTTCTCTTAATCTAGCTTTCAACATACATTTAGTTTGCCCAACATACTGGAATCCACACTCACATTGCAGTAAATATATTACCTGTTTGGAATTACTGGTAATACACTCCTTAATATCGTAAATCTTATTGGTCTGGTTTGATTTAAAACTAGTTATTTTTCCATAAGGTGGTCCTGTAGTTTTGCATATATAGCATTGTCCACATTTATAAAAACCTTTATTTTAATTTAAAAAAAATGTTTTTTAGTTTCAAGGGCTTGGAATTATTTCTGCTTAATGGTTGGAGCTCCTCTGAAAACCATTGTTGGTCTGGAATGTATAATTGGAAGGTAAAAGATGAGAAGTGAAGGAAAGGGGAGCAGAAAGCAGGGAAGAAAGGAAATGGGGGAATAAAGAAACAGGAAATAGTGGAAAGGAAAGAGAGAATGAAAGAAGAAAAAAAGGAAAATCTACATGCAAAAGCAATATTAAATGCAGAGTAAATAATACAAATAAAAAACAGGAAATTTTTTTATTTTATTTTTTTTTTATTTTATTTTTATCCTGAATTAGCACTAAATTAAAATGGACTGTCAAAACAGTCTGATTTATGTACACAAAGTAAAGTGAACATTTTGAAGCAGGTTGTTTTATTTATTCCCTTTCTTCTCTGGTTTGTACTGATCTTATTAATAAGCCTGTTTAAACCCATATCTGCAAATATTTCTGTTTCTTGTTGTATTGTTCGCTTCCCCCGGTCCCTCTCTTCTCTTCCTTGACCACTTTGCTGCCTGACTTCCCTACTTCCTTTCCTTTAATATTCCATCCATGAGGACTTCAACATTCCCATTATTTCAACATTTACCTCAGTAGCTTCAAAACGTCTTTCAATTACTTCCTCCCTTTGGCTATTGCAGTGGGTTAATACATACACCCACATGGTTAGCAACAACCTTGAACTTATTTTTCAGATGCATGCACAATCTCTAATCTCTATAAATGACCATTCCATCTCTCAGATCTCCACCTCTTCTGATTTGCTCATGAGAACCCCCTCGCCCAACATCCTCAGCCTATCCCCCCTCAACTCAGGTTAAAACCTGAATTTTATTGACCTTCAAAAGCTCTCAGCTTATGTCCATTCTCAACACTCATCCATCCCTACCTTTTCCTGTCCCTGACTTGCTATCTCCTCATATAACACTAGCCTCATCACTGCCCTGGATACTGCAACCCTACTACAAACATACATGTCCTCCTGCTTTCTGAAACTCAATCACTCTAAAACTGAGTTTCTTGTCTTTTCTTCTCATAATATTGATCCTCTTCTTCCACTCTCCCTGCAAGTATGCGCTTCAGCTCTCCTTGCAAGCTCCCTGTCTTGGTGCTATCTTTGATTCTGGCCTCACCTTTGAGCCTCATGTCCAGTCTGTTTTCCAAATCCTGTCGATTCCATCTTAAAAATATTGCCAGCTTCCACCCCTTTCTTATGCATGATGCTGCTAAGGAGCTTGTTCATACTCTAGTAATTTCTCACATTGATTATTGTAATTCTCTCCTAATTGGTCTCCCCAGAATCTGTTTTACCTTGCCATAGTTTGTAATGAATGTAGCCACCAGGCTGATTTTCCTTTCCAGTTGCTCCTCTCACCCCTCTATCTGTCTTTACTTTGTGTATACTATAGGGGTCAATTTCAAAATACTAACCCATACCTATTAAGCACTGAACAACTCTAGCCCCTGTTATATCTCTTCACTGATTCACAGGTATGCCCCTTTTCTGTGAAGGGAGGGGGTCAGTGTATTAATTTGAGGGAGGGAGGGGGCAGTGCATTCATTTGGGGTATGGAGGGGGCAATGCATAATTTTGGGTGAGGTAGTGGGCAGTGTATTAGAGTGGTGGGAAAGGGAGGCAATGTATTAGAATTGTGGGAGGGGGCAATGTGTTAAATTGAGGGGTATTCATTTGGGGGAGGGAGAAAGGCAGCATGAGAGTGTTGGTGTGGTGCAGTGTGGGAGGGAGCAGTGTATTAGAGTGGTGGGAGGTAAGCGGTGTATTAGAGTGATGGGAGGGGGCAGTGTGTTAAGTTGGGGGAAGAAGGCAGTGTGTTAAGTTGGTGGAAGGGCACTGTATTAAATTGGGGGATGGATGGGGGCAGTGTATTACTTTGGGGGAGGTAAGGAGGCAGTGTGTTCAGTTAGAGTGGAGGTAGGGGGCAGTGTATTCGATTTAAGGGCAGTGTATTCAATTGGGTGAAGGGGAAAGTGAATATAAAAATGGAGGGAGGGGGCGGTGTATTAGATTTAAGGAGAATGTATTGGATTTGTGGACAGTGTATTAACGTGGAGGGGGCAATGTATTAGAATGGAGGGTAGGGCAGTGTATCAGATTGGGCCTGCATGGAGGCGCTGAATGCTCCCCATGGAGATGCTGACTGGCCGTGTAGCTTTTTGTCACACATGCACAATAACCTTCCAATTTTCCAGTGGGAAAGAATTGGATTGGCTAAGATCATCAAGTTTGATGATCTCAGCCAGAGTGAAGAACACACTCATAGGACTTCAAAATCAACAATGTAATGTAATTTGTTGTTTTACAGCTGTGCAAATGCATACAGGCACCTCTGGAGCTTTTCTGCTTCTGAGGGCAGCTAGGAAGGGTGCTTGAGAATTGGCATGGCACGGTGTGAAAATACAACAGTATATGTGAATGGTTTAAAAGACACAACATCTATATATGAGTCCAATATAATCTTTGTGTATGAACGATTGTGAAGATGACTTATGTATACAAGTCTAACACAAGCTCTGTGGGTTGCTGTTAGTCACAGCTTCAGTATATATGAGTGATATAATCAGTGCATGAAGTGCTGTAAAAACACAGTCTCAATTTATCTAACTCATATAATCTTAGCATTTCCCCTGATGTGGAGACATAGTTTCACTGTATATAGTAGATGTAGTCTCTGTATGATGTACTATTGAAACACAGCCTCAGTACCTACACGTGCAATTAGTATATATTGCTGATTGCCAGCACACAGCTTAGTAGATCTTGCTGATTGCAGGTGAAAAGCTTAATAGAGCTTGCTGATTGCAGGTGAAAAGCTTAGTAGATCTTGCTGATTGCAGGCATCCATCTGGGGCTATTTATTGCTCCGATGAGCAAGTAACTATTTGAAGCAATTACCTGACTGTTTTCATTGGTATGATTTACTTTCTCAAATATAATTTGACTTTGATTTAAAAGCTGTAAATATTAGCTCTTTGTATCACCAAGGGACAACTTTAGTAATCATTTTTAATTTCTGCAGGATTCTACTATGCAAATGCGCAACTCCTGGTCTGGTTTATAATTTTTATTCAGATTTTAGCTCAATGCTCTGCAGTTGGTTTTGAATTTTTTTAGAATGTAGTGAATTCCCTTAAAGCATAATATGTATAATTGTGAGAATATACTGTTTGTTAGATTCAGTATTCTGCTATTTAATGCCTTGGAGATTTTGACTTAGACCATGCCTTTAATGCATGTCTGGGGTGGCATGCTTTTGGTTATTAAGTGGTTAGAATCAGAATTTCCTCTAGATTTCCCTGTTGTGAAGTTCTCAGGGGGGAATATTATTATTTATTTTCTGCGATTACATTTTTTCTCTAAATCTCATAATCTCCATCTAATATTGTTACTGGGTATTGCAAGTGTTTTTATTACCAATGGAACGTCTCTTCAGTCCTCGGACTATTCTCACAGGTTTAATATTTCAGGTGAAATTTTCTTGCTACCAGAACAATAAGGGAAATCTCTGAACATCTAGTCCCATTACTGACCTCCGTTCTAATGTTCAAGGGTGTTTTTCTAGGTGTCCTACTCTCACGGGAGATGGGACTGCTCGTACATGTTCCTTTATTTGTACTTTGTTTTGTCTGATATCCCCCTGCATTAGAATGGAATCACTACCTGATAATTGTACCCTTGTGTTCAGCTATCCGTTCCCCTCTGTTTGGTTACCGAACAGACTATGTGTGGTTAACAACTCGTAATCACAGACCACGCCTGGCTGTTAAGCCCAACCAAGCAATCACCTCAAGTACTTCCCTGGGTGGCCATCTTGTCTCTGGAACGCAGGCAGTGGTACATGGTTGCCAACGGCATGGATCTCTAAGTTGGCTGCGCAAGCTCGCGAACTCCGCTGAAACTAGTACCCCTGCCCGTTCGATTTCCCTACCAGCTAGGAGAACGGCGTTCGGGAGTAAGAAACTACCAAACAAAGGAAGCATTAATTTCATAAAAGCTAGGGTATGTGTTTGTTGGTGTATGCACAGGTACCCCCAAAAGTCCACCGGCCAGCCTGGCAATTCTCTGGAACTGTTTTGGGCTACCACCTCATGGCCAGTAGGTCAAAACTTTGTTCGAACCTAACTCACATTCTACTGAACCGATCTGTGTGCTTTTTTGATATGTTGTGTGTTCATATAGGGGCTATTCTGGGCTAAAGGGGCTGTATTTTTATGGGGTTCCTATGCTGTTTTCATGTATTTTCGTGATATGTAAAACTTGTATGCATGTTTTCCTATTTGAGAGATAATTGAGTTATCTTAATTGGAGCTCAATTATCTCTCAAACACAATGGCTTGTGGGAAGGAAACCCCTGTGATTTTGTCTTAGAAACACCATGCTAGAGGCACTGTATAAAAAGCCGAGTGTTGCCTAATAAAGCTCAGATTGCTTCTTGTACCTGATACAACTGTTGGGTCCATTATATTGGGGAAACTCTACACAGCGATAATACTATCACCATATTCAGCACATCTGGAATTAGGACTAGTGGAGGATTGAAGGAATAACAGCAATAGACTAGCGAACCCGTGACACCTACTATCTGGACTTTACAGTCAATGTGTGGCTTTATGCAGTGGAGTCATCATAATATATTATTGTGCTTGTTTGTGACAAACATTTGACTGATGTGCTTCACATCGTCTCTGTAACTAGATCTGTATTAGTGACATTCATTCCTGACATTGCATTGATGTAGTATTTGTCAATTATATGCATGGACTGATGTTGAAAGCTTTGCAGATACAACAAGCTGCACAAGGATCTTATCATCACCATATGCTCTGCCTTAAGTCCTTTATCACTATCTCAAGATAAGGTCAGGGTAAGCATGTGGTTGTTTGTTCTCATAAGGACAACTGAATATTTTAAACTATTCTGCTTTTTATGTTTATTATTATGTGTCTCTTGCCACAATGTATCCTGTGACTCTTTCTTTGGTGTCTACCTATAACATGTTACCTACTTATGTTGATCAACAGTCTTTAATCATTTTATTCTACTGTTAGGCATTTGTACTATTTACAATATTTTAGTCTTTGAATGTATGTCCTCATGTTGTTGGCCTACATTTCCCACTTATAATTAAGTAGTTGCCATCATTTCTATGGTTTATTCTGATATTCTCTCACTGCTAATACATATACCAAAAAGCAGGTAATTACAATGCAAAAATAATGAGAAAACCATAGGGCAATATTGCCATACACAGAGTAATAATAAGATTTAAAAATGCACACTAGAAATTGTTATAGAAACTCTGCACTATCACTTCTTCATTTTCTCTCCTATATGATTCAATCCTGATACGAGGATACCCTTCAATGTATTGATACACCTTCAATCAATTTGGGTTCGTGAGTGTGCATTTTTAAACCTTAATATCACTTTGTATATTGCACTATTCCCCTATGGTTTTCTCTTTATTTTTGCAATGTAGCTACCTGCTTTTTGGTATTTGTTTTTTTGGTATTGTCTATGATTGAGGACCTGTAGGAGTCCTACTCTACATGCAGATAATTAACTAAGGTAAATTAGTTTCACTTTTTTACCTTTATTTTCTCCTTTTTCCCATTAAGGTGTTTCTGATACACGTGGTATATTCTTTCACTGCTATCTGAATTGTGTGCTCCTTCTTGCCTTTGCCTAGTGTCAGAAGATTCCATGCCATGGCCTATTGCAGAGGCTTGAAGGCCTGCTCTTGCCCACAGACTATGGACCTGGTCCCAAGAGCCACTGAAAGAGGCTTGTGATGGTAGCAACTGAAAAACAAACTATTCATTGTTACTTGATAACCTGGGTGGAAGACATCCCAAGTGTTCCGGACTCCTGCATTTTGAATGTGGCTCCCTGACACCCCCAAGTCAAACACAATATCCCAGAAATTACACACACAATGTGATGTGTGTGTGTGTGATTTCCATTATAAGGGTATGATTTGTGCCCCCTAACACCTCCATATTATATACTAATCAGGGGCCCGGTTAAGAGTCGCCCGAGCCCCTGGGATATTAACTGGTAGGCAGGAAGATACCTCCCTGAAATGCATTTTTGCATGTTGGGATGTCTGAGAAGAGTTCTGGAGAGATCCCGGTCAAGCTTCAGCAACTGAGTCGGAAGTGCTGAGTCTCCTGTGGCAGCAAAAAGCGAACCTGGCGGAGGTACTCGGTCGGAGTCCCGGAACTTCATCACATCTACTATTTGTGTTATTGGTTTCTAGCTCTCCTGTAAATGATCATTACTGTATCAAACAATTCATTCACAGTTTGGGGTGTAGTTGAGAGTCTGATATTTGCAATATGTAGTCATTGCTGCAGTATTTTTACAATAGATCCTCTTATTTCTCTGCTAGGCTCTGCCTTGTTCTTACAGACATATATTGTTTTGTTTCCTGTATCTACAGGTAAGTAGCTCAAGAGACAAGATGAGGCAGTGTGAATTCTGTCATTAAGAATCCATGCTTCCTGAAAAAAAGTGGAATTTTCAATTTAATGCTCCTTCTTGTTTGATAGCAGGGTATGCCTGTTTTGATTCAGTAGTGTCTGGAATTTCAGGGATTGTTACAGTTTGGTGTCTGGAAGTTATACCACTTCCAGTTATGCCACTTGGGTTTTTCCCATGAGTAAATGCTACCATGTATTATCAGGAATCAGGAATAAGGAAATTGTTTTATAATTACCATAATTTTCTTTTCCTGATCATTATACATGGCCGCATTATGTTCTCACCCATCTATGAGAGTTGTGAAGCTAGTTATATAGACTGCCTGTTGGAGAGGAGGATCTATTTCTACCAATTTCAGAGTTCTATTTCCTGTCCTTTCTGCAATGAGGAGAGAAGCTAATCATGATTAAATTCTGCCATGTATAATAATCAGGTAAGTGAACCTTTTATAGACAGGATCGGAAGGGGCTGGGGTTGATAGGGGCAGACGGAATACACCTTTGTATTGTGCTTGGGGCTGTAGTGGGGGAGATTGAGGCCTAGTGGGAGAATAGGGGCTGTAGCAGGGCCGGCCTGTCCATAAGTCCCGTGGGGTCATGGCTCCAGGCGGCACTCTGATGCCACCCGTGTCAAAACTTGTTCCTATGCTGCTTATCACACTCCTCCATGGGGGCCACTAAATAGGGGCAGGTGCCCCCTAAATTATTCCCTACCTCCATGTGTATTCTTCCGCCCAATGGGTAATTTGCCCAGGACTTCACATAGTTGAGGGGGCTTTTTCTGCAGATTTACTGGCTGTATCCCCCACGTGAACACATGCTGGCAGCGATGGAGAATGAGGCATGTTGCTGAGTGGAATCCGTAATTGCACTGCTCATCTACCCCACCCCCTCAGGCATCCAGGCAGGATGTGGACAGGCAGAATTTTCCTGAAGATGGCTCAGCATCCAGGAGCTGCCGCCCCCGCCCTGTGCCTGGAAGAGATACTTCTAATTGGCTGTTTGGAAACCTCCACCTGTGTGTGTAAGGGAGGGCTGCTTGCTGTGTTTGTTTATGTATGTATTGGGCAGTGTGTGTGCTGCAGATCACCAGAGTATCAATGCTATAGATTCCCTTTCCCTCAGTGCTTATAGCTCTCCAGAGTAATTAAATGATAATAGCTGTAGTGATATAGGCTTTTCCCCCATACATTACACAAGTCTTTTAAAAAAATTTTAATGTATTTAATTTTTTTTTTTTACAACATTTCAGACTTGTACCTGCCATTATATAATTACGTTATTACATATGAAGTATAGGCATTGGTTTTCTGTCATCATTAATGTTTTCTCCCTTCCTTCTTCCCCTTGGATTCCCATCCCTTTATTGAGCTTCCCAAACAGTGATTTGGGTTTGTTTCTTTCCTAATTTAAGTTAATTGATAGGGAAAGACAAAGGCAGCAAGAGGGAGAAAACTAAATTCTTCAAGCCTTATCTAACTCCCAATTATCCACACCCTGTACCCTACCCCCAACATTTCTTTTAGCTCCTATTACAAATTCCATTATTTCCATTCTTCTTTATTTGTTTGTCTTTGGAGAGAGAGATCACCATCCTATCTGCTTTACTGTTTTATTATTTTTTTAATTTATTTTTTATTTGCCCATTTTTTCCGGGGAAGCTTTCTTACATATTTGTGTAATTATTAGATTAGTGTTTCCATTTTCTCTATCCACATGTCCCACTCTTCTATCTGGATATATATTTTTCCCAAATTCATTAAAATACCCTTTTCCATTTTTGCCTGCCAGATGACTTGTGATATTACCTATTTGATACTTGGGATTTTTCTTGTTTTCCAATTTCATGCTAAGAGTAGTTTGGCTGCCTTTTGTAATGTGTAATATTAACATTATTACTTGTTTTTTAATTATTGGCCACCCTAGATTTAATAAGATTACTCCAGGTTCAAAGCCTAATTTCATCTCAGTTATTTGTTGTATTACTTTTATTATATCTTTCCAATAATTGTTTATAGGTATGCATTGCCACCAAATATGGATTAGGTTGCCTTTGCTAATATCACATCTCCAGCACCTAGCCGATGTCTCTGGGTAAATTCTCTTTAAACGTTGCGGTGTTAAATACCATCTATTTGAAAGTTTAAAATGTGTTTCTGTAAGATTTAGACAGTGTATATATTTATATAATTTACTTAGGGAGTTTATCCAATCTTCGTCCGCTATATGTACTTGTAGTTCTTGTTCCCATTTTTTGATCAGTTCTATATGTCTATAATGTCTCCATTTATATATAACCTTAACACATTTTGTCAACAGATTTTTATAATTTTTTAGTTCAAAGAGGTGGATGAGACTAGTTACTTTCCTCTCTTTACTTTTAATGAGGTATTCTGTGTGACAGAACCATCTGTCTGTCTATTATTATTATTATTATTTTATTATTTATATAGCGCCAACAAATTCTGTAGCGCTGTACAATGGGTGGACTAACAGACACATAATTGAGATCAGACCACTGACGTACAGGAACAGAGGGGGTTGAGGACCCTGCTCGATGAGCTTACATGCTAGAGGGAGTGGGGTATAGTGACACAAAGGGTTAAAGTAGGGGAATTAAATAGTTTGTTACAGAAGGGTTTATTGAGTGGTTGGTAGGTCATTTTTGACAGGTGCAGGAACGGAGTCATGGGGTGGGGGATGAGAAACCTGCTGACAGTTTAATTGATACGCTTTAATGAAGAAGTGAGTTTTCAAAGATTTTTTGAAGGAGTGGAGGCTGGCTGAAAGTCTGATTGAGGAGGGAAGGGAGTTCCACAGAAAAAGTGCAGCCCTGGAGAAGTCTTGAAGGCGAGCATCAGAGGTGGGGATCCGAGGATAGGCGTAGGTCTTGGGCGGAGCGCAGGGGTCTCGACAGGACATACTTGTGTATGAGGGAGGATAGGTATATTCTTGTTATTTTTTTTTAAAAAAGAGCTTAGTTATTTTATTAATCTCTTCAACTTTATTTTTTTGTAGTATATGGTCTCCCAAACGCCACTCTTTACGAAAGATGCCAAAGGTATCTTTATATTCTAACACGATTGGACTATGGACTGACCATGTTATATCTTGTATTTACATTCTTTTAACACGATACAGCATGCTCACATTTCCCAATATGAGGTCTATTCTAGAATAAGAGTTATATGTTTTAGAGTAACATGTATAATCCAGATCAGAAGGGTGGAATATTTTCCATATATCTCTTAAATTGTAGTTGTTCAGTAAATTTTGCAATCTATCCTCATTTGGTATCCTGATTTTTTTATCACTCTGACTTTCTATCTTTTAATGGATCAATCACACTGTTAAAATCCCCCATAATTAATGTCAGTCCTTGTTGAATTTGCTCTACTTTCTTAAACACTTTTGCAATAAAATGCATTGTAAATTTGTTTGGTGCATAAATATTAACTAGTGTAAATAACATAATTTATTTCACATAGTAAAATAATATATCGGCTTTGTGGATCTAATTCTTGATATTTAATATTTAATATTTAGTGAGACATTTTTGGCAAACATGAAGGCCACACCTTTTTTTTTTTCCCAGAGCAGCACTTATAATAATGGGGTATTTTGCTGAGCTAATTATATTATTGTTAGATTTTTCACAGTAAATTTCTTGCAGCGCACAAATTTGTATCCGATTTTTAATCAAAAAAAACAAAAATTATGGAACTATTGCTAGGCGTGTTGATGCCATAGGCATTTATTGAAACTACCTTAAATTGTGGGTTTTTAAACCTTCTTTGGGCTCTCTCTCTCTCCAACTAATACTCTAGGTCTGTTAAACAATGGAAAATGGCATTTCTTTATAACTACATAAAAAAAAGATGGGTTGTTCCAGAATACTGTACTCAACCTTACACAAATATTGATATATAGATGGTGGAACTGCACTCAATTCTTCGCTTTGGAATCTCAGGGTGCTGCTGGATCAGTTCCAGTACCAAAGAGACCATGCATAAAGTATAATTGTAGAAAGTAATCCAGGCACTCCAAATTGTTCCAAATGATAGGCAATTTTATTGGACCCAAGAGCCACACAACGTTTTGACCCCTTAGGTCCTTTGCCAAGCTTGGTTATCGCTGGGTGCCTCACCCCCTCCTTTATCTCACCTCCAAAAAAGCACACTGTTAGGTGTGTTGGGACTGAGAGTGCTCTGTTTAAAGTTTTAGCAGACCAAAACAGAGTTCAAGGGCGATGAGCGGTTGCTCCCGGTCAGGTACGCCATGCTTCTGCAGTCTATCTGCAGCTGTACACTGTCATGGAGGGCCGCTAGAAAGGCGACAGTGGAAGATTTTATCCTCTACCCGGTCTGACAGGAAGTGATCAGTGAGAGAACTGAACCTCAGCCACACTACATGAAGAGAGATAAGTAGAAGCAATATGGGGGAGTGAGAAGGGCACACAAAAGGACCTAACTTAATGGATGTGGGTGGGGTTTCGTGGGTGTGCTACATGTGATGGGGCAGAATTTCATACAGGCAGCACAATGGGTTGGCCCTGGCCTGTGGTGGGGGGAATAGTGCCTATAGTGGGAAGATAGGGAACTGTAATGGGAGGACTGGAATTGTAGTGCTGGGGACAGGGTACAGCAGTTGTTAACAACCATTTTTTGGCTGACATACCCTGTACGTCCGTGGTCACCAAGGGGTTAATATATATATATTTTACATATAGTTTTTCTTTAGAGTGTTTTTTAGAGAGCTTCAATTTTTATTGGGGTACATGTATAATGAATCCTGTATATTTTTTGGAGCAGTCTCAGAGATCAAACATATCAGTTATCTCTTACAGAGCTATTTTGTAAAGTGAGAATTCAAAGTGAATTTCAAATTTAAGACTAGAGTAGCTGAAATGAAATTATGACCGACTTTGGGATTTTTTCATGCTTGGCTGTTTTGACCTTAAATTTGAAATTCTCCTTGAATTGACCTTCAGTTCGCACTGTTAGATCACTTTGGTTGATGATTAAATTTAGAATTTTTATATGAAATTAGTTTTTAAGGCTGTTCCTTAATCGCTATAGTTACCTCATTTTACATTTTAGCTCTTTTTATTAATTCTAGCTTCCATTATAATGAAGTTCACTTTATGTTAAAAAAATACAATAGAAAATACAAGTTAAAAACATTTCCTTTAATTAAAAAATAAACCATATGCCATGATAACATTTATCGGTTTTATGTAGGTGGAGCCCATCTCAAAATCACCAAGTGAAGATTTAATAAAACAAAAGCCAATTCATGGAGAGGGATATTCTTCTTTGTCAACCACTGAATTTTGTGTTGCTGCTCGAGGTGTTTTTTAATTGAATGTGAATTCCATAGTCGCTGGCATGACGCCTATACTGCACTGGTTAATGTTTCTCTTCATTCTCACATAGCCGGCTTCTCCCCAACCATCACCCCAGCTACAAGAAAAAAAATATACAGTTTTTAATTGGTGATGGTAATGCAATAATATCTCAGTGTAACGTATGTTCCAACTATCCTAATCCTCATTTCTGAACAGCACCAACCAGATTTTTATTCTTTATATCTGTAATACGGTATTTGCCAACATTAATGAATCTGCAAGTGTTTTATTTAGTTTTTTTGCAAAAGTGGAGGTAAATTATTTTTCTGTCTAAGCTCAAGGGGCAAATATAGAATACTTTCTTAGGATGCACACACGTTTTTAACGGGATATGCATAATATATTTCTGGACAACAAGCAAAGATAAGCTTTTATGTTAGCTATCCAACTTTTAATATATGAGCAGGTGAATATTTAGACAACAGATTTGGAGTTGGACAATGTTAAATAACTGATTTCCTGATAAAAAAAAAATGAATATCTCAAAATACAAGATAACAGACCGGTGATACAACAATGATACATATTGCAGAATACATAAACTATATGGGCCACGCGATTCTTTATTCTGTCATAAAATAATAGTATCTAAACATGCATGACAACCTGTTGACATTTTGTTTCAGGGGAAATTAATATGTATTTAAGGAACACTATAGTCACCTAAATTACTTTAGCTAAATAAAGCAATTTTAGTGTATAGATCATTCCCCTGCAATTTCACTGCTCAATTCACTGTCATTTAGGAGTTAAATCACTTTGTTTCTGTGTATGCAGCCCTACTCACACCTCCCTGGCTATGATTGACAGAGCCTGCATGAAAAAAAAAAACTGGTTTCACTTTCAAACAGATGTAATTTACCTTAAATAATTGTATCTCAATCTCTAAATTGAACTTAAATCACATACAGGAGGCTCTTGCAGGGTCTAGCAAGCTATTAACATAGCAGGGGATAAGAAAATCTTAATTAAACAGAACTTGCAATAAAGAAAGCCTAAATAGGGCTCTCTTTACAGGAAGTGTTTATGGAAGGCTGTGCAAGTCACATGCAGGGAGGTGTGACTAGGGTTCATAAACAAAGAGATTTAACTCCTAAATGGCAGAGGGTTGAGCAGTGAGGCCGCATGGGCATGTTCTATACACCAAAACTGCTTTATTAAGCTAAAGTTGTTCTGGTGACTATAGTTTCCCTTTAATTACAAACAACCCTGGGATTCTGCTACTTCAAGGCAAAAGTGAACTATGGTGGTGCACTTCTGAGCTATTGAGCTGAGTTGAGCTATTTTTTTTATTTCTCTCAAGAAGCTGACAGTTTTAACATTGAATTTTAAGTGCACTCATCTTCACTTAAGTTTTAATAACTTAACTCAGCATCTATAATTCATGTTTTAAAGATTCTAATGCATATGCGTAATACTTCACCCAAAGATCAGCCACTTATGAGCTTTTGTGATTCTGTGATTCTGTAAAAATGTGATTTTCAATCCTTGTCAATATGCAATATAAGACATAGATCAAAATGATAATTATTCATTTACCTATTCCTAACTGTCCAGAAATTACGACCGTAACCCACAACGACAATTGCATGATTTGGTCCATCAGCACAGGTTCCATCATATATTCCTAAATTAAATGAAAGATTAACATTTTTAATTTTTTTTTTTTTTCATATATGTACATTTATTTTTACATTTAAGGTTGTCACTTTCCCTTAAATACAATATTGCACCTAGTGTTGAGGATAATTTGCTAGTTTGTCCATCACTTCACTATTAATTTAACATTCACCTGTATTTTCTCTCCAATTGTATATTGTACTTGCTGCTCTCTTAACAATAACAATTGTTTAAAAACATATAATAAAGATATGTCAAAATTATTTTTAGAGTTTGAGATGAAAAAGTTTTCCAATCCAGAGTTTAACGATCCTTACGTGTTCTAAATACTAGTTTCGGAAATGACATACACTCTGGGCAGCACGTTAAGGATTGATTTTTACAATCCAGAATCCTAATAAATTATTATGGTAAATAGCAATTAGGATAAATTGATTATATTGATAGAGTTAAAAGATAAACAAAGTGTGTTTGCAATTTTCGCTGACACTATTTCCATGACAGGTATTGTTCCCATATAGATTTACTCAGAACTAATTGTGTTTTTGTTAGATAGAACTCATGTACACTTGGACCTGAAGACTCAATAGCTAAGCCTATGGGCAAACTCATGCTGAGCAAATTGTTTCTGAATTTCAATAAAGAACAGAATCTCAGAGCAACCTTAATTACTTATATGTTTACTGTGGGTGACATCTCAACTATTGATCTAGCTAAACTTTCAAATTGGTTTGTGTATGGTTAAATACATTTCATTAGTTGAATAATAATATTCTAGTTCTTTTATATTTCATTCCAAATTATATCATCACAAGAGTTACTGGAATTTCTTTTTTAAATAAAACAAAATTTTTAACGTGGTACTCTTTGTATACAACTTCCAAGAAGTTCTAAGTAATCTGAAGAACACATCTCATAATGTACTCTGACATAAAAAAATAATATTGTATCATTAACATGGTTCGTTAAAAAATTACCTTTTTCATACAGCATAAATTCATCATTAACTCCAATTCCAGCTGTAAGAGGTCCATTAGTTGCCACTGATGCTGCCATATTTGCCTCTCCATTCACATAATAGAATCTTTTTGCTTTCATCTTTATTGCATTGTTTGAGTTAAATAAGCATTTACCTTGCTACAAAGAAACAAACAGCGAAATTAACTAAAAGCAGCAAAATGAATTTATAAACTTGTTCTCTCATATGAAGGACAGAAACACATTGTCATACTAGTTGTTTAGATCTGTTAACCCCTTGATGCTTAGACTTCCCATGGTATACCTTGTGTAGCTCTTGACTTTAATCTAACCCTATGTCTTATGAGTTATGATGGAAAAACAAACTGTGTTAATGTCTATAAGACCCTTATTTTGGGTGGTGAAGAAGTGGCATTATAAACATGGGCTTTTAATTACCTTTGCCCTTTTCAGCTGTCACATTTAAATGATGGTAGGAATTATCATGGTTGAGAACAGGACTCCTGGTCCATATACATACCCTCTTTAATATAAATATTGTGTAGCAGAGATCCTCCAATCCTCTAAACACAATTACTTTGTGCTCTAAACTAATTCCAAATTATATGGTTCTAGCAGCTAATCCTTGTATTCAGTGTCTGGTCCAAATCCTGTGTCCACACACAATATATATAACCATGCACCCCTAGCTCAGTCATACAAATCTATATATCAATGGCTGATTTTGTGTGGTCAGGTTTTGTGGCATTCAGTCACAGAATTATCTTCAATGTATAGTACAATACAAGAGAAAATCTAAATGTAAAGGACTGTACATGATCGTCTCAAGGGATGAAATCTCCTACCTTTTCTTTATACTTGTAGTCGTCACTCTTCATAATACCATTTTTGGAAACATATTCCAGAGCCTTAACTGGGAGTCCACCATCGCAACCATCATTTGCTTTATCGCAATCCACAAGCTGCTGCTCACTGAATATGAGTTGCTTACCCTTATCAAGGCAGTAACGGGTTTCAATAAGGCTCACCTTAAAACACAATTTACATACCATCCTTTTAATTTACCAAGAAATACCAAAACACAATAACAAACCAAATGCACTAACAGAAATTGGTAGGTACAGGAATCAGGTAGGTTTGTCTCCCAAAATACCACCAAAGAAAAACTCACCCCAAAAAAAAAAAATACAAAGACCATCCTTGTACAAAAAGTAAAGTATATTACAACTTGTAATTTGCATTAGTATTTTATATATGCCATTATTGTTGCTGTTGGTCTGTTATATAAAAATACTAATAAAATAGCAAATTGTTATATATTTTAGTTTTTTGGGGGGTGGATTCTCTCTCTCTTTATATATATATATATATATATATATGTAAAAAACAAGATAACATTCCTATCATGTAATACCTTTTTTATTGGACTAACAGATTTTTTTAATGACAAGCTTTCAGGAGAACCTCCCTTTCTCAAGTCTAAAGCATTTCTGAGCAAGACGACATATAGAATTAAAAGTTGAGTTGTGATACAGGGGTCATAGCGACATGAGTGCAGAAAAGATACAGGTTTGATAGAAAATAGACACTATTCTCGCAGAGAGTCGTAAATATCTTGTGTGAAAATCACAGAGTGAGGCTCACACTCTGTCGATGACATCTCATTGAGAATGCCCAAGGTCATCTTTAAAAATACTGTGATCTCTCCACAGGCCACCATTTTGTACTCTATTTGTGTTCAAGTACAATAGGGATGTAAGTCCTTGCAGAAGAAGATCTAAATTAAGAACAAGATGGCAGCTCAAAGGAGTAAGTTCAGGAACATTTACCTACAGGAACATTTAATTTTTTTTGCCCCAGGCACTACATTGTAAAAGGACATTTCTTAGCTAAAGATATAAAGACTCTAATAGTGTCAGGTTGCCAGAAATTAAGATATTAGTAGTATTCTTATTAGCTAATAAAGAGTTCTTACTGTTGCAAATGCCCAGCATGAGCCACATTCTCCTTGACTTTTAACAGGAGTCACACATTTTGAATTTCTCCAGTCATATTCATCAGGAATAACAGGCAGATTTCCATGGCGAATATGGGCATGGTGTGAAATTGTCAAATGTCTTTTCAAGCCAAGGCTGATGTGGGAAGCCCGTTCTTCTGGGGTCTGAAACATGATAACCATAATTATTAAAAAATAAATTTTAATCACTTAATTCCATTCACTAAATGCAATATTATGGAAGTCAACAAATTATTTTCATTTAATTTAGTTATTGTATAATATTCCAAATATATAAAAAAAAAATTGTATGCAGTATAAAAAAAATCTGATAAAAACTATGTGATTAAATATATACTAGCCCTCCTGCATTTCCAGTGGTCTATCTTTTATAATTCATTAATTGCTCTTGATGTATGTGATTTTTTTTCTATAGTTAACATTAGTACTACTATTACTTGTGTGTATTATCATAACTTTGCAAGTGCAGCCTTGTCTACATATAAGAAACACATTACTAACATAGTAGACAAATTGATTCTGTTGTTAATTTCTTAACCTTTTTGACATGTATTTCAAACAAATAAAATATTTTCCTGAAATTATATATCTTAAAGTGATAAGGCCATCTTGGTTGATTAAGCAAATTAATGCATGATTGAAAGATGCAAAAAAAATAACAGAGAAAATGTTTCTCGTGCACAGATTTTCCTTATTACAAAGTAGCTACATTCATGTTTTCATGGATGATAATTACTGCAACTATAATAAAAAAAATGCACAGCAATGGAAAGGGAGGACCTCATTACACCATGTTATCAGGGTACAGATATGAGGTTAGATTTTTATATAATATGGTATAAAACAGAAAACAATCTAATTTTAATTAAATAGAAAATATACCTCTAGAATGATTTCATAAAACTTACCAGGTCTGCAAACTGATTCATTGCCAAAGTGTAGTTTTTAAGACCTAGTTCTGCCAGCTGGTTGTGTTGGTGCACCAGATCCCTCGTGGCTAACCATGCTCCTTGGCGATTCAACTCAATTTCTTCTGTGTCATATTGTTTTCCTGCCATGGAATTTAACCATTGAAACAATTTAATTTACAACATTTGGACAAAAACTGCACATTATATTATGTTGTGTTGCTTGCATTGATGGATATTTGCTCAACTCTTTTAGACTAATATTACTAATATTTTATTCTACTCAAAGCCCTAATTAAAAATCTCTATGAATTAATTAATAGCTGTTTGCAATAAGATGGTTTAATTGAATGAACTGAATACAAAAATAAATTCACATTACAGATTTTTAATTTTCTTTGTGCTAAAAGAAGTTGTTTGTTTATCAACAAATTCTTGCTCATTTAGCATTTTGTTCTAGGGTATGCAATTCCTATATTCCTTTATCAGGATAATTACTGATGGAAAAATAAATCCCCAGTAAAATTAAATATATTAAAAAAGGAAAGGCAATTAAAAACAATTTAAAACAGTAACTCTTTTCATTTAATGTATTTTGTCCTTTAAATTCAGCAAATTACTACAAGCCATAGTTATGGGATAAAAAAATTCGGACTTCAGGTTTTATTGGTGAGCATTCTCACATTTTAATGGACGTTACACATCAATCAAACCACTGTTAATTTATTAGTCTGGTTTTTTTTGTGTGTTTTTTTTGTCAAGTAACACAGTTTTTGGCAATCTTTAGGGCTATTATATTTTAAAAATTTAATTCATGTATTTAATGAATAAATAAAGTAAAGTATATATTAAGGCAAAAACTGTTTTTTCAATTCTGGGGTAATCCACTTATTTGACGCACATTATGGAAACCAACACAGAATTAATAAACATATCACTAACAAATCATACTTATGCAAATAAGTACATGTAACTAATTAGCATAAATCATACATGTGTGTATCTGTATAATTACATACCATACTTAGATTTCCACAGGTTCCATTCTTGTTCAAGGAAATGTGCAGCCGAAGCGCAGACAACAATTGTTGAGAAGAGGAACAGATGTTTATTGAACTTCATCCTAAAGTAAACCAATAGTACGTCTTTAGTTTAAATACTCCAGTTATATCAAATATTTATTTTGAAATATGAAAACTAAAAGTGTAATCAGTTTCTTATCATAAAGGAGGCAAGATATAGGTTTATAAACTGTTTAACCACACACAATAGTTTTTTCCTAAGTTAATATGCTGTATGTACATTCTATGTTTGAAATAGCATGTACACTGTAATAAAGCTGGTAACGTACCTGCCTGATGTGATCCCAAGACCAGGAGCTCCTTCAGGTCTTGGTGAATGAAGAGCTTTCAAAATATTGGTCTTTATATATAATTCTCCCCACCAATAGAATTCTTACTTGCGGCAAGTCATGCTAAGAATAAGATATGTGAAAACAGTTTGACCTATCACAGAACTGATAAGATTTAAGATTGATTTGATATAACATTTGAGAAAGAAAATCACAACAAAAGAGGAAATATGTGGTATCTTTTTGTGGTATTTTATTATGTTGACATCATAACTTAATAATAAGAAAGGAGAGAGGGTAAAACATAAATCTGAAGTTCCACATGCAAACAATGATATGTTTAAAATATATTGACATATGGCAATAGGATAAACTAACACTACTAATGTCCCTTAAGCATTTTACACATGCAAGAGACAGAGAAAAAAATGGAAAATGCTGCTTGAGAAATTACAAAATGTTGAATATCTAGATGGAACTGTGTGCAAAACATTTTAGGTATATTTTTTTATTTTTTTTTACATTATTTACTTTTGCAGTGCTTAGCGTATCAGTCAGGATAGCATTTACATTTTCATAATATATATATAATAACGAAGAGTAGTAGATGTAACATGAAATGTTAGGAACACTGCACTTTTAGTGGGAAATGAGGGAAAACAGCAAAAACACAATTCTTTCATAGGGAGCAATATCAAAGGCCAAATGATGTAAAATAGAATTGTGACTGTCTACAAGAGTTAGATACCACTGGGTGGATAAGGTTAACTATTACAGGGGCCCAATTAAAGCATTTTAACTAAATTAGTGAAAATAGGTCATGGCATAATGGATAGCAAGCTAACAATAAAGAGGTGAAATAGTTGCAATGGTTATTGAAAGAGCTTCAAATATTAGCCAATATTAGTCATCTGCCACTGCAAGCAGGCCACAGCGGTAAGGCAGCTTCTTTGCCAGATATACTTCCTCCTCATTCTCTCTTTGCCAGCAGGAAGGGCGTCTGAGTGGTGAGTTGGTAGGCAGGACACAGTCCATAGTTCTGCGGCCCCATATCTCACAAGTCCAGGCTTTAGCAAGGGCCGGTTCCTTTTGTCTATTAGTGCCTCACGGGAGGGTCATAGGCTTACTTATTTTATTTTTTACATGAATTTAAATTTATGGTCTCCCCCTTCACTATTTTAGGATGAGGGGGGTAGGTAGTACTTTAATTTTTTTTGGGGTGGGGGGTGACTACATTTAGCCTCCACCTGTCTCACATGAGTGGGGGCCAGTTGGGGAAAGGACAATAGCTCCTCCCCATTTTCATTTAGGGTCCCAACCCGATGCTCATTGGTGGGGGCTGGGTGGAGGATAATAGGTCCCCCCCTTTTCATTTAGGGCCCCTACCCACAGCTCAGGGGTGGGGGCAGGACATTATTGTTTTTTTATAGGGCCATCATTTAGAAAGGGGGGTTTACAACAGTGAGCAGCCACTATCTGCTCACTGTTCAGTAGACATGCCCCTACTCGCGGCATAGTGAGTATGGGCATTCTGGAGATTTTAATCTCCCTTATGCTAATATAGGGGTCATATTGACCCCAATAGAGTAAGGGGGGGCATGGGGGCTTACAAGGATGGAGCTGCGTGCCGGTAGGTCCCTCCTTGTAATAAACCAAATGAACAAATAAAGAGATCTTCATTAATTCATTTGAAATTTCTATTTATTTTTTCATCTTTCTGACGAATGAGTGAATAGATGAAATTCCTGTTCGAATGCCCAAGTGTTTAACTGGGCATGCACAAGAATTTCACAGCGCTATCTACTGTGGGCAGATGATGTGTCCCACAAGGACTTCATCTAACCACAGAAAGATGGCGGTGCCCAAGACCTAGGTCTGGGCATAAAATAAATATTAACCCCTTAAGGACACAAGACATGTGTGACATTGATTCCCTTTTATTCCAGAAGTTTGGTCCTTAAGGGGTTAAAGAATAGGTAATATGGGGGGCTTAGGGGTATTTGTGGGTGATAGGGGGACAATTAGATGTAGTGGAGTCAGGAAGGGGGGTTAAAAAAACAACTGGATTCGGCCATGACATTGCCGCTTTAAAACTAATGGCCTGAGTAACCTTTATCTCACATATCTGCCACTTGCTCTCTCCTAAAGGGCTGCACTCCACTCTGTCCTTCAGTTCTGCTTCACTCCCATCTTGTTTGTTTGCTTTCCCCCTCAATGCCTTTCCTAATGAGTTTTATACCCTACTTCTTGAGTGGGATAGGCATGAGGCTATCCTAGATTTAAGATAAGGCCAGGGACTAAGGAAATATTTTGAAACTTGGGCAGACTAGATGGGCCGAATGGTTCTTATCTGCCGTCACATTCTATGTTTCTCTTTTACACTATAAGCTTGTTTGATCTGTATCCTCATCAACCTATTGTTCCTGTAACACTTTGTATTTGTCTTGTTTATTGTTAAATGTTCATTTTTATAATATTGTAAAGAGCTGTGGAATATGTTGGCGCTATATAATTGCCAGAAATTATAATAAAATATCTTAAACATCATATCCCACATAAAGAAACGTGTAAAAACACATACACACATTTGTAATCCATTGCACAGAAAAAATATATCCAGAGTATGAGTTTGTTTATGGGATAGTAGAGTAGTATATTCAAATGGCATACGTTTAATGTAAAAATAAAAGAATGAAATATGGCCTATATTACAAAACTTCAATGTATAAATAAATGAACAATGTGTACAAGAATATGATTAGGAGTTAATAAAAAGAGCCCAACCCTAGTACATATGCAAATAGATAGGATAAAGAGAATAATTCATTCTGAATGATATTTCAATATTTTAAAACAAATAAATATATATTACAGTTCTATTTGTCACATAATACAACATTATTAGAATATGCATACAGTATTAAAAGTCTAGGCCTCCATCCCTCAAGATTCAGTAAACAGCTCTTGCATATGATTAATTCATGGGTATGCCCCTTTTACGTATGTGATGACCAATGGCATATGGGGTGCAGATGGAAGCCTACAGTTTAAACAGTTTAGGCTGTCAGTTGTTCAAATCCCCATGTGCTGCTTAAATACAAGCCTGCAGCTGTTTATCTGTCTCTATGGCTATTCAGCGCTGTATTTAGCGCAAGGCTCACAAGGCATTTGCCTTGGTCGGCACTTTAAGGGGGGCTGCCCCCAAGTTCCCTGGCAGAAGTCTTGTCAGCCTCTTGTCCATCTGTTCACATTGAGGGCGAGGGAGTGCTGTGCCCTGAGCACTTCCTGCTCAGCTCCGTAGCACGCGCCGCAGTGATGCCGAAGTCAGGATATGACATCACTCGAGCCCTGGCTTCACTAAGAGGTGCGCGAGGGAGCTGAGCAGGAAGATCTGAGCTACCTTGCCACCTGCATTAACTACCTACCCAGCAGTGAAAGAATCCCCACTGGACCCCTGGGAAATAGAGATTCCACTCCAGTACTCCCAAAGGTAGGAAGGATGAGTGGATTGAAATAAAAAATGCTTTTTTTAAATTGTGAGTGTATCAGAGTGCGTGTGTCTGTTAGTGAGTTTGTATGTGTGTCTGTCAAAGAGTTTGTGTGTTTGTCAATGAGAGTGTATATGTGTTTGTCAGTGAGAGTGTATGTGTGTTTGTCAGGGAGACTGTATATGTGTTTTTCAGTGAGTGTGTATGTGTGTTTGTGAGTGATTGTGTATGCGTGTCTGTCAGTGTCTGTGTCTGTAACCGAAAGTGTGCCTGCCAGTGAGTCTGTATTTGTGTCTGTCAGTAAATGTGCATGTCTGTTAGTGAATGTGTATGTCTGTCATGTTGGTGTGTTTCTGTGAAAGTGTGTGTTGGTTAAACAGTGCGTGTGCCAATGACTGTGCATCTGTCAGTGAGTGTATGTCAGTGTATGCATCTGTGAAGGCATGTGACCGGCAGGCAAAGAGTGTGTTGTTTTTTAAAAGGAACAGAAATTTAGATGGGGGTGCCTGAGATTTGTCAAGCCTAAGGCAGTACAAAACCAAACTACACCACTGTGGCTGTTTAGTATATTTTCCCACCTCAGGTAAGTACATTGGTATTTAAATTATAAACTAGTATAAGTACCTAAATTTATGTTCTTTCAGTTCCTCCCAGTTGCTTATTTTTGGGTTTCCTACTAACAAATATTAACAAATACATTAAGGAGGTCTGTGAGGTAAGCATTTAGGTAAGTTTATACATGCAATGATGCATTTAAAAAAAAGAGTGCTACTAATGGATATCCTGGCTGTATAAAGTCTACCTGAATACCAAAGTGTGAAGAAAGGCAAATATCCATGTTAAGAAAAAGTATCCCTGGGTAAATAACTGATCTACAGACTTGTACATGACATGAGGTATAAAGTCTGATGCTAAGTCCACTCAGACACTTGTTCCTATTACGGCATGTGGCAATGATTGTTGTTGTCTGTGCATTGTGGCACATAAGCAGGCTTTTTCAGATTGTGGAAGGTAAAATATTTTTGGGATATTTCTGATTATCTAAATCAGCATATGAGACCAAGATATCCTCTCAGTATGAACTGTTGAAGATCTTCTATAGATTTGGATATCACATAGCCTCAGTATATTTGACTGATATTATCTCGGTACATGAGCTGATCTTAAGCACAGCATCAGTATGCGTCCAGTATATGTTCTATGTATGAATTACTCTGCGGACATAACCTCAATATATGTATCCACTATATGCTTTATGTATGAATTGGTCTGAAGACTCAGTTTCAGTATATGTATCCAGTATATGCTCTATATATTAGTTGGTCTGAAAACATAGCCTCATTATGTATGTCCACGATATACTCTATGTATGAGTTGGAGTGTGTTCACAATATGCACTATGTATGAGTTGATGTGAGGACACAGCATCAATATATGTATCCATTATGTACTCTTTGTATGAGTTGGTCTGTAGACACAGCTTCAGTATATGTATCCATCATATGCTCTATGTATGAGCTAGTGTGAAGACACAGCCTCAGTATGTGTCTTCTATACGCGCTATATATAAGATGATGTGAAGACACCGCTTCAGCATATTATTATTATTATTTTATTATGTATATAGCACCAGCAAATTCCATAGCGCTGTACAATGGGTGGACTAACTGACACGTAATTGTAACGAGAAAAATGAACGCCCAGGAACAGAAAGGTTGAGAGCCCTGCTCAATGAGCTTACATTCTAGAGGGAATGGGGTATAATGACACAAAAGGTATAAGTAGGGGTAATGAAATAGGTTGCAAAAAAGTATTCACTGAGAACTTATAATATTTTTGACAGTTGCAGGAGAAGAGTCATGGGGGGATGAAAACCTGCTAACAGTTTAAATGATATGCTTTCCTGAAGAAGTGTGTTTTCAAAGATTTTTTTGAAGGAGTGGAGACTGGGTGAAAGTCTATCAGAGAAGGGAAGGGAGTTCCACAGAAAAGGTGCAGCCCTGGATAAGTCTTAGAGGCGAGCATCAGATGTGGGAGTACAGACAGAGGATAGACGTAGGTCTCCAGCAGAGCACAGGGGCCTCAATGAGACATACTTGTGTATTAGGGAGGATAAGTAGGTCGGAGCAGCATTATGTAGGGACTTGTAAGTAAGCACCAGAATGTTAAATTGAGCCCTATATCTAACTGGAATCCAATGTAGGGAATGACAAAGGAGTGGGAGGTGCAGGCAGACAGGAAAATGAGCCTCGCTGTCGCATTCATTATAGATTGCAGTGGTGCAATCTATAAACATGTAAGTTTACTGAGAAGGGGATTGCAGTAGTCAAGGAGAGAAAGGAGAGAAAGGAGAGAAAGAACAACAGCATGGACCAGCACCTTAGTCGTATCAGTTGTTAAATAGGGGAAGATGCAATGTTTTTGAGATGGAAGCGGCAGGATTTGGTGATCAACTAGACATGAGGGGTGAAGGAGAGGTCAGAGTCAAAGAGAACACCTAGGCAGCGAGTCTGCGAGGGGGGGTGTGATGGTGGCGCCGTTGACTTTGAGTGAGACATACACAGGAGTAGCAACACTTGAGGGAGGAAAGACCAGAGGTTCTGTTTTGGACAGGTTGAGTTTAAGGAAGTGAGCAGCCATCCAGTTAGAAATCACAGAGAGGCAGTCAGAGACATGAGTCAAGATGGGCGGAGAAATAAGAGATGAGGAGAGGACAGGTACATTTGCATGTCATCTGCATATAAATGATAATGAAAGCCAAAGGAGCTGATGAGTTTTTCAAGGGAGGCAGTATAGATGGAGAACAGTAGGGGATCAAGGACAGAACCTTAGGAATGCCAACAGAGAGGGGTTGGGGAGAAGAGGCAGAGCCAGAGAAAGAAATACTGAAAAAGCGCCACGAAAAGTAGGAGGAGCACCAGGAGAGAGCAGTATCTTGTAGACTGAGATTACAGAGAATGAGAAGTAGCTGTTGATGATCAACAGTGTCAAAGGCAGCAGAAAGATAAAGGAGAAATAGGGTAGCGTAATTGCCTCAAGATTTAGCTAGTTATAGCAGGGTTTCTTCTCTGCTGGTTACTTCAACAGCTACTCAGGAACAAACAGGATACTTCAAGAAAGCAGACATAAGCATAAAATCATCCACAAATATCCCTTCACCCTTTCCAATAACTGGATGACACTCATTATTAGGAGCAGAACTGATCCTTTAATGGCCATGCTGGCCTTTTATGCTTGTTTTTCCCACAAGGTTACCACCCAGGTGGACCTTGTTGGACACAGGTCCAGTACAAAACCAATAAACACAGAGTCAGGTAATGAGTTACTCCCATACATTCCACACAATCCCTCCCCTCTGCTTAGGCGATAATTGAGTTAATTACTATATCAACTCAATTATCATCCACACAAATTTTTTTTTTTTTTATACATTTCCAGAAGTACCCCAAAAACCTATCCTACTCCCACAATTCAGACCCTGATAGCCCCAATCTGGAGAGCTACATACTGAAAAATTACCCAGATTGGTTCAGGGGTTCGACAATTCTATGTAGGTCTTTACCGACCGCACACAAGGTGTAAGCCGAAAATAGTTCCATGTGTTTGGGCTGTGCGGTCGGTCTACGTTCGAGAGTCTGAAATACATGAAATTGTATATGAACATGGTTCGTGCCTTGGTTAGTTGAAATAATCTCATTCGTGTGATTCCTTTCACCGAATGCCACTCTGTTTTCCTGAGTTTACACAAACTTACACGAAGCTGGAAGTCTCTGAAGTGTTTGTGCCATTAAGTGTCCGTTGATTTGGGTTCCAGACACTCGACAACCAAACCCCGCTGGTACAGTTCGTATTCAAAGATGGCCGCCCAGGGGATCACCCAGTTGGTTTGTGTGTTTGTGGTTAAGCAAGTGTGAACAAGGTTAGGAAGGTCAATTGGCGCCACGCTCCTCTCATGGGTGGCCTAGTTGTTCGGTACTTAGTTCGTTTGTCGAGCTATATATGGAAAGTCAGCTGAAAGAGGGCTGTTACTGAACAACCAGACGAAAAAATTAAATGTAATAGTTTCTTACTTGTTTCCCCAAGTAACGAAAAGTAGAAATCACAGAAAAGAGGGTATGGACAGCCCCTAGTACAAAGAGAGGTTCTGTTGCAAAGCCCATTCTGCTACACACAGCTGTTTCAACAGAGTGAAGAGCACAGAATCCATTCTGAAGTTGGTCAAGCAGAGAGATGAATTTGAGATAGTCTGTCAATCTTACACAACTCTCTCAAGGATCTTGGAAGCAAACGGCAGTAGTGATATAGGGCGGTAGTTGGATGGGGAATTGGGGATCAATGTTGGGCTTTTTCAGAATTGACATTATGGTTGCATGCTTGAAGGGTGAAGGAAATGTGCCAGAGGAAAGGGAGAGATTGGAAATTTTAGTGAGAAGAAGAGCAAGAGAGGGAGATAGGGTGCGGATGAAATACGAGGGAAAAGGATCAAGGGAATAGGTGGCAGGGAGGGAGGACCGGAGCAGAGCAGAAACCTCTTCCATTGTAGTAGGTGCGAAAGAGCATAGAACAGTGGAGTGAGTGGGGTTGGGTGATGTATTGGAAGGGTGATATGGGAAAATGCAAATATTGTATTTCTCAAACTGTGTACTTTGTCTTTAAGAGATATTGAAAACTGACAAAGTGTTGGAAATGAAACATATTGTTTTTCATACATGTTTCTCTAAGCAATAACCATTTACCTACTTTCAGTGCATGATATGTTTACGCCATTTTGTCCCAGACGAAATACAATAACAATAATGCATAAACAAGCTTCAAGGCAACGCTACGACTCTTTCAGTACATAATATACTGAGGTAACCCTAAATACATAAAGCTGTTCAGATGCCACCTTGATCTAAGTAAGGGAATTTTCCATGATGTATGCACCCCCTTACGTTTTAGTTATGACCTTGTATTTTTGCCAAGTTAAGGGAGGTCCTAAAATGAATAAAGTGAAAGAAGGGTTATTTTTTCATGTATGAGGAGCAAAAAAACAGGGCGCAAGAGTATTCTGAGAACGAGCAACAGCTTAAATAGTCTGCCCTTCGGTGGGTCCCCGCTCAGATCTCAAGCTAGTTTTAACTCATCTTGTGCCATTACAGAGAGAACATCTCTGAAACATATCAGACTGGTCCCACCCATACGGGCAGTCCAAATTTGAAATGCCAGCAAGTTCCCTCTGCACGAGAGGCAGAGCAACCCCAGACGATTGTTTCAGCCTTGTTAGGCATCATCAGTGAGGCATAGCTGATATCTCTCTAGGCACCCAGAGCAAGGGGTCCAAGTCTGGATTACCCTTTAAACTTATGGAGAGCAAAAAAACAGGGTGCAAGAGTATTCTGAGAACGAGCAGCAGCAGAACTAGCCTGCCCTTCTGTGGGTCCCCACTCAAATCTCCCCTGCTCGTTCTCAGAATACTCTTGCACCCTGTTTTTTCGCTCTCCATAAGTTTAAAGGGAGAGTGGTTAGAGATCTCTTCCATGATTGTAGAAATCTTCTCAGTGAAGTGAGTTGCAAAGTTTGAGGCAGACAGGGTGGTAGCAGGAGGGGGAGCAACAGGGCAAATTAGAGCATTAAAAGTGTGAGATAGGCATTTGAGTTGGCGGGACAGTGTGCTTATGAGGGTGTTGAAGCATGTGTCCACTAGAGCAGCAGGAAATGCTAGCAGAATGCTTGGTTGTATAGGGAGAGGTATTAGCAGTAGAAAGAGGGAAGTGCTCATGCCATTGTACAGAACACTGGTGAGACCTCACTTGGAGTATTGTACACAGTACTGGAGACCGTATCTTCAGAAGGATATTGATACCTTAGAGAGGGTTCAGAGAAGGGCTACTAAACTGGTTCATGGATTGCGGGATAAAACTTACCAGGAAAGGTTAAAGGATCTTAACATGTATAGCTTGGAGGAAAGACGAGACAGGGGGGATATGATAGAAACATTTAAATATATAAAGGGAATCAACACAGTAAAGGAGGAGACTATATTTAAAAGAAGAAAAACTACCACAACAAGAGGACATAGTCTTAAATTAGAGGGACAAAGGTTTAAAAATAATATCAGGAAGTATTACTTTACTGAGAGGGTAGTGGATGCATGGAATAGCCTTCCAGCTGAAGTGGTAGAGGTTAACACAGTAAAGGAGTTTAAGCATGCGTGGGATAGGCATAAGGCTATCCTAACTATAAGATAAGGCTAGAGACTAATGAAAGTAAAATTGGGCAGACTAGATGGGCCGAATGGTTCTTATCTGCCGTCACATTCTATGTTTCTATGTTTCTATGTTTCTACGTGCTCTATGTTTTAGTTAAAATGCAAGATGGACCACCAGGATAGCACCGCAAAGGATTTCCTTTCATTAATGTTTATGGCTATCAGAATATCTTCAGCGATTATAGCTCTACAGCAGATCCACCGCAAGCACTAGCTAACCTAGTGTAGGGTGAAATAGAACTAGTTTATTGTCACATTTTTTTACCTTGGGTCTCAACAGGAACTCCCCTGAGAGAATAAAAGAATTACAACATTCCCAGAGCCTTGGTGTCTGTGCCTGAGTAGATAATTTAATGATCAGCCAGACACCTTTGCACTGGGATAATAAAAAATACAATAATTATGGTTTTCGTCCCCACATCTCCACACAACTGCTGTCCCCAGGAAGCTTGTTTCAGAGCACCTACTTTGTCCAAAAGGTGCTCAGATCGGAGGTTGCTAGCCAGATTTAGGTGGAAGTGAACATTTCAGCAGGTTTCATCTAGCCTCCAATCTTTTCGCAGAGTTCCATGGTGCTGGGTAGAAAATCCCAGTCACCCAAAACCACAGCGCTTTCCATGAATCTTTGTAGCTCCTCAAAGTCCAAAGTCACCCTATCCCCTATTACCCCAAGAGCACTCTGGGTAAAGTTTTGGTGGGCAGTTGCTGCGAGACAGTATATGTGAATGAAATAAAAGACACAATCTCTATGTATGAGTCCAATATAATCTTTGTGTTTGACGATGAAGAGGATAAGAGAATGAAGAGGATAAGAGAAACACACTGCATTTTACATTTGCATTAGAGTTCTCCCACACAGGTGTTTAAGTATTAGCAATTAAACACTTTAGATGGACTGCATGTGTTACTGATCCTGTCTGTGCACCCCTCCATCTGGAGAGAAGGGGACCTGATTTCCAAAATTGAGGCTGGTGATGTTCAATATCAATTAATGGCCCTTTATGTGTGCACACCTATGCATATACGTGAGAGAAGTTGCTACAAAAGTATTTTTTATTGCCAGGTACCATCTCCTCATCAATCAAGGTAAAGAATGTTTTTACGTTTAGAGGTAGTGTTTAACCTTAGTAGATACTGCTGATTGCAGGTGCACAGCTTAGTAGGTATTGCTGATTGCAGGTGCACAGCTTAATAGATCTTGCTAATTGCAGGTGCACAATTTAGTAGATCTTGCTGATTGCAGGTGCTAAGCTGTGGCTATCTATTGCTCCCATGAGCAGGTAGCTCTCTGAAGCAATCAACTGACCCGTTTCATTGCTTTACTTTCTCAAATATAATTTGACTTTGATTTAAAAGCTATGAATATTATTCTGTATTACCAAGTCACAACTTAAGTAATCATTTTTAATTTCTGTAGGATTCTACTCTCAAACGCAATACTACTAGTCTGGCTTATAATTTTTATTCAGATTTTAGCTCAATGCCCTGCAGTTGGTTTAGAATGGAGTGAATTTCCTTAATGCATAATATGTATAATTCAGAGAATGTGCTATTTGTTATGTTCAGTATTCTGCTATTTGATATCTTGGTGGCCTTGAGTTAGACAATTTTTTTAATGCATGTCAGGGGTGGCATGCTTTTGATTCTTAAGAGTAGCCTGTTGTGAAGTTCTCAGGGGGAACATTATAATTTATTTTCTGCAATAACATCTATTTTCTTAGTCTCATATTCTCCATGTATTATGGATACTGGGTATCGCAAGTGTTTTAATTGCCACTTTTCACTCCTCAGACTATTGTAACAGTTTTAATATTTCAGGTGAATTATTCTTGCTACCAAAACAATAAGGGAAATACCTGAACATTACGTCCCATTACTGATCTCTGTTCTGATGTTCAAGGGGATTCTTCTGGGTGTCTCACTATCTGAGCTTTACAGCCAATGTGTGGTTTTAAGATGTAGAGTCATCAATTAAAAGTAATATTGTAGCATGTTTATGACAAACAATTGGCTGATATGTTTTTAATGGTCTCTGTACCTAGATCCGTATTAGTGATAATCATTCCTGACATTGCATTGATGTAAATATTTGTGAATTATATGCTTCGACTGGGGTTGATAGCTTTGCAGATTAAACAAGCTGCACATGGATCTTATCATCACCATATGCTCTGCTGTAAGTCCTTCAACACTATCTGAAGATAAGGTCAGCATACGCATGTGGTTGTTTGTTCTTATAAGGACAACTGAATATCTTCGACTATTCTGCTTCTAATCATTTTGATTCTACAGTATTTTAATCTTTGAATGTATGTCCTGACGTTGTTAGCCTAACTTTGCTACCTATAATTTAGTAGTTGCCATAATTTCTTTGATTTATCCTGATATTCTGTCACTACTATCTGAATGATGTGCTCTTTTTTTGCCTTTGCCTAGTAATATCTACTGTGACAGAAGATCCCATGCAATGGCCTTTTGTAAAAGCTTGAAGGACAGCCTCTTTCCCACAGACTATGGACCTGGTCCCAAAAGCGCCTGAAAGGGGCTTGTGATGGTAGCAATTGAAAAACAAACTATTTATTGTTACTTCTACAATGCCCTTTGCTGACTGAATGGAAGTGTCTGTCACGACTGTTAGTGTGGTCCAACACACAGAAACTATGTAAACATATAGATAGAAAATGAAAAGGAAATAAAAGGACAGAATGTAAACCGGTCCTTAGAATGGCCGGACTAATACGTTAGCGACAGAGAATGGTCAAAGGGAAAGCCGAGGTCAAGGAAGCCAGAAATACACAAATAAAGTTTAAACAAAAATAAAATTGTCCGCCGATCGCATGACTGAAACTTCGGTCTAATCTTACTTCCTTTGTCACCCTCATTTTTCACTACCACATATTTATATGTTCTGTCTACATTTTACTGTTTCTTGCTATACAGCTATATGTGATTTTTAACTTTATCTTCAGTCATCAATTAAGCAATTAGGATGTCATTTTGGCACTATTTTTAAAACACACCAGCTGTTTCACTCCCTTTATAAACCCAGACCTGCCAGGTTATGTTCTCTGCATTTCTACTTGAAAAAAACCTGATGGCGAACCTTGTTGTGGACATTTTAAACTGTATTGTATTTTATTAAAGTTATTTTGGTCACTTCCTCACTGTGAGTTGCCATTTTACTTTTTAAAAAAATATTTTTATTTTATTTTATTTTTACCTATTTTAGCTGGCTTCTGAGTTGTATTGTGTTCCAGTGAGACATTACTCCAAAGAATCCTAGGTGGGGATTATACCACTCAAGCCCTATACACTGAGCAGTCTGCCTGTTTGTGTAAATGTGAGTAACCACTTTAGATTTTATTTTCTGCTTTCCTGATTTTAAATAGAGAACACTATGGCTGTTCCTTTTTATTTCATATGACCTTCCCTCAGACAAGAAATCATCTCATGTATCCTATAAGTGGGGATTATACCACTGTACGCACTTCATACTACAGCTAGTCCATTAGCTCTATAAAATGTGAATAGGATCATATAAGACTTTTACCAGAATAACACCTGATTGTTGAATATACTGCACCATTAGTTGTCTCTTTTATTTCCACATACAGAGTGTAAGAACATCTTCAACTTACGGAGCTGTTATCTCATATTCTAAATTTTCGTTTGCTTCTACATACAGTCCCCCAAAAGACATTCTTGAACTCTACTACTGGACTTTTAATCACTTAGACTATATTATTATTATTTTTATCTACTTTGCTCTTTATTACTGGCGCCGCCTATCTACTACCCTCTACATATGGGGTACGACTCTAAAATCTAAAAGGAACATAAACAAAACATAGTGTGATACAATTTGAACAAAAAATGTGTGCTGTACAAGAATGCACTCACAAGATGTAGACGTATTATGCGCTCAAAGGGTGCTTCCCCAATGTAATTGGGTGGCTATGGATCCCTCTCCTCCATCTGCAGGTGTAGCAGGAAATCAGGACTCCAGATGGTTGTATGAAATAATGGCTTTTTATTATAAATCAAATAAAATTGATAATGCTATTAAAACAGCAGTAGTTGTAGTCTTACACGTTTCGTCCCACACTTGGAACTTCCTCAAAGTCCATAAAATCAAAGTAAGTAACAAATGGTTATACAAAAATAACAGCCTAACAATTCCCAAATCCCACCCCAGAGTCCCTTTAGGTAGGACTAATTCCTGAGTTCATTGGTGGTTCCGAGGGTGTTGTTTTTCCTCCGTGGTCCTATCGGTTCCCTTCTTGCACTGGTTCACCTATGGATCTTCAAGATTTATCTCTTGTGTCTCGGCCGGTAATTAGACATCTGTCAAAAACTGGAAACGGAAGTGCATTCCATTGAACACTTCTGCATTCCATTTACTGTGATGTGAGCCAGAGAGATCAAAAAGGCTATATACATGCCATAGAGTTCACAGAAGTAGTGTGTGACCCTTTGGTGGTCGCCAAAGGTATTACAAGATTCAAAGTGATGTTAACAAAACGTAACATCAAGAGCTTGATCAGCTAAAGCGAGGGTTATTAATACCACAAATTCATCATTAATCAGAGCCGTCAATATGAATTAAAGTGCAAGGAAATAAACTTATATCATGTGATGGATACTTAGCATGTAGTTAAGAAAACGGATAATAATTCCTTTTCTGATGTTAGTTGTATCTATAATTTTCTTTTTTATGACAACTTCACTCAGGGATTAATTATTTAAAGTGCATATATTAAAGTGAATATGTGCAATGATTGATAAGTGTCAATTATTATTTGTTATGTTCTAAATGATAATTGAAATGAATTAATATACTATAGTGTAACCACACATACCTATTTTTATAATGCATGACTGTATAACCTGTCCTAAAATAACAACTGATTACATTTGATATCCCTAATTCAAGGGTGAAAAGGAACATATTTATATCTATATTGTTCATTTGCTACCACAGTTTTAATCATAAAATTGATTCTTAAGAGTAACAATGGATATATTAAGGTGAGTAGGTACATTAAACCGTAAATACGTAATATTTAAATTTTTTGTTATATTCTAAATAGTAATTGAAATAAATTAAGGTAATGTGATGTTACCGTACATACCCACTTCTATAATATATAACTGTAAAGCCTCTCATAAATCAATAACTATCTGGTATCCCTAATACAGAGGATATATGGAACATATGTATGTACAGAGGAAGAGAATACGCAGGAAAAAATACACAGAAAAAAATACACATGAACCAGAAGTAAAGATGGGAAGATGTAAAATGGGAGAGATGGTCTAAATCATAAAAAACAAACTAAATCTATGTCCAAATTCAGTACCTTTGGTTCTAACATTTGGAGTTTGTGAATCCAATAGGTTGTATGTTGGGCAAGTTTTTCTTACCCTATCACCACCATGCCAATACGGTGTCACCCTTTGACCGAATGTGTCATAAGGACTTTCTTTATATTGTTTAGATGTTCTAAAACCCTGATCTTAAGGATTCTTTTAGTACGTTTGATGTACTGTTTGCCACACGGGCACTGCAGCAAATAAACTACAAAGTCTGTGTGGCATCCAACCTCGGACTTAATCTTGAAAACATCTCCAGTTTTAAAGCTAGAAAATTGGTTTGTCCTATCCAGAGAGATGGTGGAGCAAGCTTTACAAGACTTGCATCCTCTAAAAGTACCAGCGTGCCCCATGATGTTCCCAACATCGGTATTTATTGCGTAACTGGGGGCTAACATATTTTATGTTTACGATTTTTTTTTTTTTATATATGAGTGTAGGTTGATCTCGTAGATGAGTTCCCAGGACTGGTTCCTGCAATAATATGGACCAATGTTTTTTGTATGCTATTTATTATTCCTCCATGATCCAGATTATACTGGGTCCCATATGAAGATTTGAAATTGGGTATGTCAATCAGTAGAGCATTTCTCTGTATTTTAGAAGTGAGACCATTTTCTCTCTCTAAGGCATTACTTTTATATCCCTTCTCCAAGAGCTTATTTGCTTATATGTTGAGATTAATTCTCAAAATCCTGAAAATGGGAACAATTGCGCCTTAGGCACATAAATTGTCCTTTAGCAATGCCTTTAAAGGGACAATATAGTCACCTGAACAACTTTAGCTTAATGAAGCAGTTTTGGTGTATAGAACATGCCCCTGCAGCCTCACTGCTCAATCCTCTGCCATTTAGGAGTTAAATCCCTTTGTTTATGAACCCTAGTCACACCTCCCTGCATGTGACTTGCACAGCCTTCCATAAACACTTCCTGTAAAGAGAGCCCTATTTAGGCTTTCTTTATTGCAAGTTCTGTTTAATTAAGATTTTCTTATCCCCTGCTATGTTAATAGCTTGCTAGACCCTGCAAGAGCCTCCTGTATGTGATTAAAGTTCAATTTAGAGATTGAGATACAATTATTTAAGGTAAATTACATCTGTTTGAAAGTGAAACCATTTTTTTTTCATGCAGGCTCTGTCAAACATAGCCAGGGGAGGTGTGGCTAGGGCTGCATAAACAGAAACAAAGTGATTTAACTCCTAAATGACAGTGAATTGAGCAGTGAATTTGCAGGGGAATGATCTATACACTAAAACTGCTTTATTTAGCTAAAGTAATTTAGGTGACTATAGTGTTCCTTTAAGCCACGGTTAATGGTGACAACTTTTCCGATGGACATATCCATTGCCATCTGTCGGCTTAAAAAAGCATTTGGTTTTTATTTATCCATTTTCATAGAAAAGAGTCAAATTAAGAACATTGATTTCATCCTTACTCCACACAGGGGTAAATTTAAGATTATATTAGTTATTTTTTAGAAAATTAACAAAATCCTGAAACAAAATAGAAGACCCTCTCCAAATAATTATAACATTGTCAATGTATCTCTGTATAATTAAACCTGTATATGTTATTAAGCAGTCTCACTGATCCAACACATCAGTTATCATTTACAGAGCTATTTACAAAAGTGAGAATTAAAAGTGAATTTTAAATTAAAGACTAGAGTAGCTAAACTGAAAGCTTAACTGACCTAGGGAATTTTTCATGTTCAGCTAGTTTGACCTTAAATCTGAAATTCTCCTTGAATTCACGAAATCAACTTCAGTTCTCACTTTAGTAAATAACCCTGTTAGATCACCTTGGTTGATAACTAAATGTAGAATTTTTATATGTAATTTCTTTCTTAGGCTGTTCCTTAAGAACTATAGCTACAATTTGCATCTTATCTTATTTTATTGATTCTAGCTTTCCAATATAATAAAGTCCCCTTTATGTAAAAAATGCAATAGAAAACACAAGTTAGATGCATTTTCTTTAATTAAAACAAATGATATGCCATGATAACATTTATCGGTTTTATGTAGGTGGAGCCCATCTCAAAATCACCAAGTGAAGATTTTAATAAAACAAAAGCCAATTCATCGAGAGGGATATTCTTCTGTGTCAACCACTGAATTTTGTGTTGCTGCTCGAGGCGTTCTTTAATTAAATGTGAAATCCATAGTCGCTGGCATGACGCCTATACTGCACTGGTTAATGTTTCTCTTCATTCTCACATAGCCGGCTTCTCCCCAACCATCACCCCAGCTACAAAGAAAAAAATATATACAGTTTTTAATTGGTGATTGTAATGCAATAATATCTCAGTGTAACATGTGTTCCAACTATGCTAATCCTTATTTCTGAGCAGCACCTATCAGATGTTCGTTCTTAATATCTGTAATAAGGTTTATGCCAACATTAATAAATCTGCAAACATTTTTTTTTTTTTTTTAAAGTGGAGGTAAATATCATGACTCATCATTTTTCTGTCTAAGTTCAAGGGGCAAATATAGAATAATTTCTTAGGATGCACACACATGTCTTTAATGGAATATGCATAATATTTTCCTGGATAACAAGCAAAGATATTATGTTAGCTATCCAACTTTTAATATATGCGCAGGTGAATATTTAGACAACAGTTTTGGAGTTGGACAATGATAAATAATTGATTTCCTGATAAGAAGATGAATATCTCAAACTACAAGATAATGACTGATAATTCATCAATGATACATTTTGCCACGTGATTCTTATATTCTGTCATATAAAATAATAATATCTATATTAAAATATTAAAAAATATCAACTAAACAATCTGGAATATTTTATTAGGAACTACAATCAACCCTGGGACTTTGCTGCTACAAGGCAAAAATTAAACTATGGTGGTGCACTTCTGAGCTATCGAGCTGAGCTATTGTTTTTATTTCTCCAAAGAAACTGAGAGTAATCGCATTGAATTGTGCACTCATGTTCGCTTAAGTTTTTATAACTTAACTCAGCATTTTAGGTAAGATAGCTTAGAGTGCATTATGTGTTATACATCACCCAAATATTAGCCACTTATATGCATTTGGGATTTTGTGATTCTGTGAAAATGTGATTTTTGTGTCTGTTAATATGCAATAAAAGACATAGATCAAAGTGATAATTAATCATTTACCTATTCCTAACTGTCCAGTAGTTGCGGCCGTAACCCACAACGACAATTGCATGATTTGGTCCATCAGCACAGGTTCCATCATATATTCCTAAATTAAATAAAAGAATAAAATTTTTTTAAAATGTTACATATACATACTTTTTTATTTTTACATTTAAGTTGTCACTTTCCCTCAACGACAATATTGCATCAAGTGTTGAAGATAATGCGGTAGCTTGTCCATCACGTCACTATTAATTTAACATTCACCTGTATTTTTTCTCCAATTGTATATTGTACATGCTGCTCTTTTTTGTTGCTCATTTGTTTAAAAAATTTAAGAAAAGGTATGTCAAAATTATTTTTAGAGCTCTAGATTTTTAGAATTTTCCAATCCAGAGCTCAGATAAATACATGTTCTGAATACTGGTTTCTGAAATGACATACACTTTGAGTAGAAAGCAATGGATTGATTTTTACAATCCTGAATCCTAATAAAATGTTATGGTAAATAGCAATTATAATAAATGTAATCAATTGATAGAGTTGAAAGATAAGCAAATTGTGTTTGCAATTTTCACTGACACTATTTCCATAACAAGTATGTTCACCATATAGATTTTCTCAGAAAGAATTGTGTTTTTGTTTGATAGAACTCATGTGTACATGGACCTGGAGACTCAAAAACTAGACCTAAACTCATATTGAGCAAATTGTATTCAAGAACAGAATCTCAAAGCAACTTTAATTTCTTATATGTTTACAATAGGTAGTATCTCAATCACTGATCTAGCTGAACTGTCAAATTGTTTTGTGTATAGTTAAGTGCATTTCATTAGTTGATTAATAATATTCTCGTTTTATTTTTATTTCATTGCAAATTTTATCATCACTAGAGTTAATGGATCAAACACAATTTTTAGTCTGGTTCCTCTTTGTATACAGCTGTCTAGAAGTTCTAATTAATATGAAGAATACATCTCATAACATACTTTGACATAAAATATATTATTGCATCATTAACATGCTTCAGAAGAAATTACCTTTTTCATACAGCATAAATTCATCATTAACTCCAATTCCAGCAGTGAGAGGTCCAGTAGTTGCCACTGATGCTGCCATATTTGCTTCTCCATTCACATAATAGAATTTCTTTGCTTTCATCTTTATTGCATTGTTGGAGTTAAATAAGCATTTACCTTGCTACAAAGAGATAAACAGCAAAATAAACTAAAAACAGTGAAACAAACGTATAAAAGTATTTCTCTATAGGAAGAACAGGAAATCATAGTTATTCTACTTGTTCTGAACTTTTAACCCCTTGATGCTTAGACTCCCCACGATATACCTTGAGTAGTTCCTGACTACAATCTAACACTATGCCTCCTGAGTTATGGTAGAGAAACAAACTGTGTTATTGTTTATAAGACCCCTTATCCTGGACGATGAAGAATTGGAATCATAAACATGGGCATTGAATTACCTCTGCCCCTTTTAGCTGGCATATTCAAATGATGGTGGGAAGTATCAAGGTTGAGCAAAGGGCCCCAGATCCATATAAATGACCTCTTTAAGATAAATTTTACATAGCAGAGATCTTCCAATCCCGTAAAACTTATTACTTCATGCTCTAAACTAGGGTTACCAAAAAATTCCCATTTCTATGATTCTAGTAGCTACTCCAAGTATTCAGTGTCTGTTCCCAATCCTGTGTCCACACACAATATATATATATATATATATATATATATATATATATATATATATATATATATATATAAAACCATGCATCTCTAGCTCAGTCATACAAATCTATATTGGCTAATTCTACCTCTCCAGTATGAGTAGTTGGGTTTTGGGGCATTCAGACACAGTGCAGTGACTTCTCAGAATGCTCTTCAATGTATGGTGCAATACAAGAGAAAATGTCAATGTAAACAACTGTACATGAATGTCTGAAGGAATTAAATCTCCTACCTTTTCTTTATATTTGTAGTCATTACTCTTCATAATACCATTTTTGGAAACATATTCCAGAGCCTTAATTGGGAGTCCACCATCGCAACCATCATTTGCTTTATCGCAATCCACAAGCTGCTGCTCACTGAATATGAGTTGCTTACCCTTATCAAGGCAGTACCGGGTTTCAATAAGGGTCACCTTAAAACACAATATACATGAGATACTTTTAATTTAGCAAGAAATACCAAAACACAATAACATACCATATTGCTCATCCTTTCAGACATTGGTAGGTACAGGATTCAGGTAGGTATCTCTCCACAAATACCACCAAAGAAAAACTCATCAAAGGAAATATAAAGAGAATCCTCATACAAAAAGTAAAGTATGTTCAAGCTTTTAATTTTTATTAGTATTATATACATGCCATTATTGTTAGACCAGCTGGTGTGATATATATAAAATACTAATAAAATGTCAAACTGTTATATATTTTTGTTTTTGTGGGTGAATTCTCTCTCTCCCTCTCTCTCGCTATATATATATATATATATATATATATATATATATAGCGAATGTTATTTGTATTTTTTCACCCCTATTTAGCTGTCCCACTAGTTATAGTTCTGTCTGTACATGGTTAAAGAAGTTTCTTTTTTACTTGCATTCTCTGAAAGCAAGTTTTTATTTTATATGCTTATTAATTGATGGATAACATTCAATAAATTAATCATTAATCACAATTATTTATATAGCACCCAAACTATTAATAATATATTATAATATATATAATATATATTATTAATAGTTTGGGTGCTATATAAATAATTGTGATTAATGATTAATTTATTGAATGTTATCCATCAATTAATAAGCATATAAAATAAAAACTTGCTTTCAGAGAATGCAAGTAAAAAAGAAACTTCTTTAACCATGTACAGACAGAACTATAACTAGTGGGACAGCTAAATAGGGGTGAAAAAATTCAAATAACATTTGCACAACCTGACAATTCATACAGTTCATTTTAAAATGTGTAAAAAAAATTCAAATGACTGCACAATGTGCAAAATTGCGCTGATAGGAACAGGCATCGTTTTGCAGTAGGAGCAATAGATGTTGATGACATGTCATCGAGCACTTGCAAGATCATCTAGAAAAATACTGAGATCACTCCATAGGCCACCATTTTGTACTCTATTTGTGTTTATGTTCAATAGTGATGCAAGTCCTGACAGAGGAAGCTGCAATGAGTTGAAGTTCTGATTTGAGGAACAAGATGGCCGCTCCAAGGAGTAAAAGTTCAGGGATGTTTATCTACCTGCTCTCTTTTGCCCCCAGGCACAACATTGTAAAAGGACATTTCTTGGCTAAAATGTAAATACCCTAACAGTGACAGTCAAACTTCAATGTTATTCATGGGGAATTAACCATAAATTAACAAATGAGTTGCATAAACCTATTCTTATAAGCTCATAAATAGTTTTTACCGTTGCAAATGCCCAACATGAGCCACATTCGCCTTGACTTTTAACTGGAGTCACACATTTTGAATTTCTCCAGTCATATTCATCAGGAATAACGGGCATATTTCCATGGCGATTATGGGTATGATGTGAGATTGCAAATTGTCCTTTCAAGCCAAGGCTGATGTGTGAAGCCCGTTCTTCTGGGGTCTGAAACATGATAGCCGTATTTATTAAAAATACATTTCAATCACTTATTTCCATTCACTAAAGGCAATATTAAGCAAATAAACCATTTATTTTATCTTAATTTTTGCATACTATTACAACTGATAAAAAAAAACATTTTATGCAGTATTAAAAAAAACTGAGAAAAAATGTATAATGAAATGTAAAATGTTCCTTTTCCAGGAAGTCAGCACAAATAATGTAGATCTAGAAAAGTTGTTCAAACACTAGTCCTCCTGCAATTCCAGTGGTTTATCTTTTATAATCAATGAATGGTATTGCAAAACCATTGGTGGTGGCTCTTTGAGATGTATTTCAAGCAAAGTATATTAACTATATTTTCCAGAAATTATTCATCTTAAAGTGGCAATCCCATGGTGGTTGATTACACAATTAATGCATTATTGAAAAATTAAAAATATTAAGGATTTTCCTGATTGGATGCAGCTTTTTGGCTGCAGCTTTTTGAAAAAACAGCTTCTAGAATCCATAGCGCTTTATTAAGTTACAAAGTACCTCCATTCACGTTTTCATGCATAATAATTATTGCAACTATAATCAAAAAAAATGCAGAGCAATGGAAAGGGAGGACCTCAATACACCATAATTTTTGCAACATTCCACATGTTGGTGAGTCTCTTTTACACATATTACCAGAGTATAGAGAAGAGTTTTTACAGCCCTGTTAATTATTGGACTTTTTTTAAAGTTAATTTTTATTTTATATATTATTATATTATTTTAGATTTTTATATAATCTGGTATAGAACAGAAAACAATTGAATTTTAACAAAATAAATAATATACCTCCAGAATGATTTCGACAAACTTACCAGATCTGCAAACTGATTCATTGCCAAAGTGTAGTTTTTAAGACCTAGTTCTGCCAGCTGGTTGTGTTTGTGCACCAGATCCCTTGTGGCTAACCATGCTTCTTGGCGATACAATTCAAGTGCTTCTGTGTCATATTGTTTTCCTGCCATGGAATTTAACCATTGAAACAACTTAACTCACAATCTTTGGACAAATACTGCACTGTATTTGTTAAAACATTCAAAATATACATATTGCCATTAATTTCTTTTCTATACAAATTCCTAAAATTCTCTTTGCCATCCATTCATCCCATGGCTCTATTTCCTTTTCTATGCCCCTAGATGCTTATTTCATTTTCACTTCTATAAATCACATACCCTATACTAGACGTGTGCACAAATGCATTTCAGGTAGCACAAACAAATCAAATGCCTTTTAGACTGCGCCCGAAATAATCTATATCTATATACAACTCAAAGCCCAGCCCCCTGTGCAGGTATATACACTTAAAATATATATGAATAAATAAATAACTGTTTGTTATAAGGTGGTTTAAAGTGAATAATTAAAAATAAAAAAATAAAGCCACTATGTAGATTTTTAACTTTCTTTGTGCTAAAAGTAGTTTTTTTTTTTTTAACTATATGTTGCTCATTTAGCATTTTTTCTAGGGTATGAAATTCTTATATTCCTTTACAAGGCTAAAGACTGATGGGAGCATAAAATCACACTAAAATTAATATATTTAAAAAGTAAAGGTGACTAAAAACAATTCAAACACTAACTTTTTTCATGGGATGTAATTGGTCCTTCAATTTCAGAAAATTACAGTAAAATAGAGCTGTAGTTATGGGTTAAAAAATTCAGACTTTTTTTAATGAGCATTCACACATGGCAATCTTTAGGGTTATTATATTTTTAAAATATAATTAATGTATTTAATGTGATTAAGAGAAACAGCAAATAACCAATGTAAAGTATAAATTAAGGCAAAAACAAGCTTACAATTCTGTAGCAACAAATTAACGTGCGTCATGGAAGCTAACTGAATGTTTTATTGAAACAGAATTAATAAACATGTCACTAACAGATCATACTTATATATAAATGTAAATGTAATTAATTAGCATAAACCATACATGTGTGTATCTGTGTAATTACATACCATATTTAGATTTCCACAGGTTCCATTCTTGTTCAAGGAAATGTGCAGCCGAAGCGCAGACAACAATTGTTGAGAAGAGGAACAGAAGTTTATTGAACTGCATCCTAAAGTAAACCAATAGTACGTCTTTAGTTTAAATAATCCAGTTAAATCTTCCACATCAAACTTTTTATTTTGAAATATGAAAACTATTAATATCAATCAAAACTCAAAATGTAATCAGTTTCTAATCCTAAATGAGGCAAGATACATTTAACTACCCAAAATTGCTTTTTCGTATGTTAATATGCTATATGTATGTTATTTATATATTTGAAATATATAAAAATATGTAATAATACATTATATATTTAAAATACGTCTATAAGCAATAAAGCAGGTAACGAACCTGTCCAATGTGTTCCCAGGAGCTCCTTCAGGTCTTGGTGATTGAAGAGCTTTCAAAAAATTGGTCTTTATATATAATTTTCCCCACCAATAGAATTCTTACTTTCAGCAAGTCGTGCTAAGAATCAGATATGTGGGACAGTTTGACCTATCACAGATATGAGATATGAGATTGACTTGATATAACAGAGAAAGGAAATCACAACAAAAGAGGAAATATGTGGTATATTTTGGTGGTATTTTACTACGTTGACAGCATAACTCAATAATAAAAATGGAGAGAAGGAATGCTATATATCTAAATATTAACATGCAAACAATGATATGTTTTAAATATATTCATATTAGTTCATTTAGGATAGGGTAAGAAAAATAACCCTATTAATGTTTCTTAAGCATTTTACATATGCAAGAGACAGAGAAAAAATAGAAAATTGAAATAAAAAATATCTAGATTCAACTGTATGCAAAACATTCTAAATATTTAAACATTAATTTGAAGGCTTATATTTAGATGAATACATACAGTATGCATTTTAACATCTAAGTCCTGCAAACCAAACACTTTAGCAAGCCTTATTAGTCCATCTCAATTGACACTAATTATGAGTTTCCTCCACCTCCTGACAGTTACAGAAACCTGTTGTCCCCCCATTCCTATACCAGGTGTCTATAGGGGAACTAGTAAATATATATTATTATTATTATTATATTGTGCCAAAAAACTCAGTAGGGCTTTAATATAATATCTTCCCCACTCCTGCACCTTTCAACCAATGTTCCGGCTCTTCCTTCTCCTTCAAAGTCATTCCTTCTGCCTATTTAAGCTCATTTAATTTTATTCCCTCTTCATATTGGCCTTTCCCTGTTATAATTCTAAGATTTCTTTCATCTATCAATTCTAATGCATCCACATTTCCCTTAGTGACCCACTCTCATAAAGTTGACTTACTTCTCAAAGAGCAAACTTGGTAAAACTCTGTATACCTAACTTTCTTTGGAGTAGAATAGTCAGTGGCTTTGTTAATTTGAAACAATCCTCTATAATATACAACCTATTTGACCAATTCCTGTCCCTACCTGGCAACATCTCTTTTGGGAAATACCATTCCACTTATTTGAGCGAATGTAGAGACATCCACCATGATGTCCAATATTCCAGCCCTGACATACACAATTAACCCTTTACTCCACACACTTCAGAATAGTTTAAATTATTATTTTTATATGTAAAAATTCAGTTTGTTTATGGGATATTAGAGTAATACATTCACATGGCATACTTCTAATGTAAAAATAAAACAATGAAAAGCGGTCTATATTACAAAACATTAATGTATAAATAAACAACATATACAAATAATAGGATTAGAAGTTAATAAAAAGAACCTAACTCTAGTACATATGCATATAGATAGGATTGAGAGAATAATTCCTTCCGAAGTCTATTTTAATATTTTAAAACAAATAAATATATACAGGTGATACTCGAAAAATTAGAATCTCGTGCAAAAGTTCATTTATTTCAGTAATGCAACGTAAAAGGGGAAACTAATATATGAGATAGACGCATTACATGCAAAGCAAGATAGTTCAAGCCGTGATTTGTCATAAGAGCGATGATTATGGCTTAAAGCGCTTTGCATGAGGCCATCCAGCATTGAGCAAAACCACAAAGGAAAGCATTATTCTATGCTTTCTTATCGCCAAGTCCTTATGCACATGCAGAACTTGCTGTGCATGCGCGTTAAATCCCCCATTGACTGACGGCGTAGGAGGAGCACAACCCATTGTCTAGGGTCATTGGCACTTGAATCATGGACAAGGGTGGAAGCTGGGAGGAGCTGAGTGGGCAGACAGATACGTTAGTGTTAGGAATAAATCTTCATATTGTGATTGGGGCTGTGGTGAGGGGGAGAGTAGAAGTATAAGGGCTATAATGGGAGGTCAAAAGAATGTAATGAGGGGCAGATGAGCTGCTAAAAAATATTTCTCCCTTCCCAGATGTTTACCTTGGGCCAGGGAGGGGGAACCTGATTCCTGGATGTCCGGTGCTGTCTGCCATGGTGGGTGGAGACAGCTCCTTCCAACCAGTACCAGGGAATTATGGAAAGATGTTGTTGCGGTAACCCATGACAACGCTGTGATACAATATGGAGTGCCAGCCCTGCCGGCATGCCTGACCCCACAACAACTTTGATCTCCGTACTAACCATGATGCCCCTTGCTTACCTGCCGCAGAAAATCTGACCCTGTAAATGGCATTCCTACAGGTATTCTCCTACTAGCAATCCAAAATCAACATGTAATGTCTTAATATCAATAAATAAAAACATAGCATTTATGTAATATCAATATATAAAAATACCAAACAATATACATAAATATGAGCAGATCATGTTTTCTATTTCATGGAACACAGGTAGGGACATAGGGACATAATTCCCGATTTACCTTCCTACAGTTCAGCAATCATAATCTTGAACAGTCCTATGTTATGCATTCACTAGTGGTGCACTAAAAGGAAACACCTTCTATTAACCCCAACCTTACCTTATCATACAACCCTTAACTCCTTCCCAAACCATAACACTTAGCCTTAAGGGGTTACTGCAACCACCATGACCACTTCTGCTTTTTGAAGTGGTCATGGTGCTAGCAGTCTGGATATGTAGTGTTTCAGCTTGGAACACTGCAAACACAGAGTTATTTTTAATTATGTGCTGGGGGCAAGTTGCACCCTCTGGATGCTCGTTTTAGGCAGCCCAGATCTCTGTGACGTCAGATGGGGGAACTTGATAAAGGTAAGAAAAACTTTATTTTTAATTTTTGTTTTTTTAAATGTTTTTTTGGGGACGGTCCTAATTAATAATGTCAAAAGGGCATGATCCTTATTAAATCAAAGAAGGGTTGGAGAAACAATTTAATGTGAACCCCAACACTAATATTAACCTTACCCTAATATTATATAAAATTTACATAACGGCAAAGTGAGTAATTATCAGGAATATATGGGGATCCAACACGCAGAGTGTAATAGCATAGTAACGTAAACCTATGAATGGCCAGGCTAACGTCACAAGAACAGAGAGTAATCAGGAACAAGCTAAGTTCAGGGGAGCCAGAAATCAGGAACAGCGAGAGTACAAGGGCCGAGTCAAAGGAATACAGAAGGTAGAATAGTCAAACGTTGCCAAAGTCAAAACCAAGAGAAATACACAAATATAACATGCTATTGGGACTATACAGAAATACAACAGGGCAATGAGACATGTCCTGAACTCCCCTTATATACTGAGTTCCTTTCATTTGTAGCCACACCTCCAAAACGGTTGAATTAGAACGTTTTGGTGGGCTGTGACATCATTAGCGTTAAGACGTCGGTGCGCATGCTCCGCGTCATGAACAGGGGCGGGGCTATCACAGCTGGCGCGAGAACCGCTAGAAACAAGAGAGGAACCATTGGAAGGACCCCAACCTCCTGCAGGATGGTTTCAGTGTGTGGCACAGCTTGTGCCAACACACAAGGTACCCTGACAGTACTCTGAGAAAATAATGGCTTTTGAAGTCCTGGAGACATTTATAAACCACTTAACCTTTGATATCTTGGTATACTATGATGTCTCCAGAATTACCCAGTGG